GTTCAATGTGATTTTTGGAATTGCAGATATCTGATTTATTTTTCTCCATAATAATTCGTATTTTCGTGTACTTCCAAGTCCAAAGATTTTTTGATAGTGTACTTATTTATGAGAATTAATTCATAGCTTAGTGTATCAAAATACCGTCGAATAATAACATTATTATTAATCTTAGACTCGAATTGTACATACAATCTGCTGCATAAGTGCAACTAAGATCATAAAAATCTATACTTTTTCCCTACACCTCCATACAATACACTTTTAGAAAAACATTAATAACAATGAGTATGGATGAATTTTATAACAATTATGAATTAACCATGTGATTTTATGTATTAAATAAATTATTTTCGTATTATTTATCATAATTCTGCTGAAAATGTTATAGAGAAGTATAAATTATATAACTATGTATAATATATAGGTACAAAAGGTATAGAATGATGTGTTTTTAATATTTTACTTTTATTTAATTACTAAATCTTAAACACGAGTACCAATATTATTATTTTAAAATTTTATATAAAATATTATATGGAAAAGAAATATTAAATGATAATTTTAAGAGTGATCATTCGAAAAGCATTGAAGTTTTGAAAATATTTTTCTTTCTATTTCTCATCGATATATGAATAGTTTAATAATAATATTGCTATTTTAATAATTAAAGTACAGCAATTATTATATTTACATTTATTATATTATAAATACCTATAGTTTACTAAAGTATTTATTTTTATATTATTTTATCCATTTTTTTTTTGTAAAGTTCTTACATATTAATATCTAATGTAATAATAATTTACCTATTAAATTTTTTTATAACTACACAGTTATTATCATAGAAACAAATAATATTTTGTGAATTATTAATATAAAACGAGATAGATGCTTAGTAGTAGTAGTTTAACAATTTTTCGTTAATTAATATAGATAATAATAATTGATGATTGTACTATCCAAGTTATAAAAATAGGAAACCATATACTTATTATATGCGTATCTATTCAATTAAATGGTTTATGCTTTTTATTATAAAAAAAAAAAAAATACTTTAAATATTAAATGTCATTATTTATAATAATCACTAATTTTGCGGCAATGTAACAACTGTATATTTTTAATCTTTTTCTTAAAAATATAGTTAAGTATTAAAGGCATCAGCGTTAATATTATTTAGTGCATCGAGGTATATAAAATATTAACAGGGACATCATCAAAAAACAAGATGATAAATTATATAAGTGTGTTATACACGTATTGCTAGTTGGTGCGTGTCATCTGGCAGTCAATAATTCAGATATTTCGTTAGAGACTTTCAAGTGGTTTGATGGGGAGAACGTGGACAGATAGGTGTTATATTAAACGCTTATGAAAGATTAAACCTAAGTATCCGGTTTCAGATTTTATAGAGATTAATTATTCATTATGTAGTGATATTGAAAGTCCAGATTTATATTAATGACGAGGAGGCAATAAAAGATAATATATTTTTGTTAATTCTTATTTTTCAACTATTGTATTTGTGTATGATATAAGTACCTATTATATTAATACACTAAGTGGCCGTTTCCGTAACATTTCCGTAACAATATTGATTGGCCGTTATTATAGATGTCATTATTAAATTGTGTCGATATTGTAGCATAGGTCCTGGGGGACGTTTAAAAGGTTCTAAGAGTATCATGAGCATTGAGAGATGATTGAGCGATCATGTCATTGCTTCAAGGGATTTCCGCCATTGTTGTAAAATTATTGGAGTTATTTATTGTTAATGCGAACTGTGAATGTGCAGTTTTCTAAGTAGGGTTTATTGTTACAGGTACTCTATAACGCCACAAAATGAAACCACATTTCTCTGAGTAATAAATTGTAATTGCGCTAAACTTTTTGTTTGAACATAAAATTTATTACGATTTTTAATTACAAATCAAGTGTGTTATATGTATGGATCATAGTATCAAGTCCAACTATAGATTTATTTTACTAGGTCACATAGATTTTAAAAGATTGTCGACTTTGTCTTATTGTTAAATGATAAATTAATTGTAAATCCTATGTACCTATAATATTGAAGCATAAAATTATATTCGTTCTTTGCCAATTGTTTATACTTTTTAGAAATTAAAACGATCGTTAGTAGCATAACTTTACTAAGTACCCAATACTCGCATTATTGATTTCTGTTAATCAATTGCATATAGATTAGAAATTAAAAAACAGATTTTTGTTTTTAGATTTTTTGTACTAAAAATTTGACATAATTAGAGTATTATTATTCGATTTACCTCTAGTATTTGTACCTCACTATTTCAATTTTCTGCCGAAATGACGTCGGTCTCTCATCCGACTTCTTGATGCGACTCTCTAGGTGTTCTCGACTCAGTTTTCCGTGAAACTTTTCAAAATACAAGAGTGTATTATTTATTTAAATTATCTGATCATTATATCTTTTATAGGCTCAATCAACATTACGATTATTTCCATATAATGTTACGTCTTCTCTACTTGGCTTAATCTATACTCTATTCACGTTTAGAAGCGACTTAGGCAGCCTATTACTGCATACGGGCATGACATAATTCTATGTATATATTATTGAAAGTTGATCTTAATCATGGAAAACTGTTATTTGTGACCTGAGCGCCGTCTACAAAAACTGTCAGCCTAGGTCGCTTCTAAACGCAAGTAGAGTATTGACTAGTGACTACATTCCACCACCATATTTGTTAAATTGATTTGGTTTGTTTTATTATTATTATAATTATTATTTATTTTTTTTTTTAATATTTATGATACTGTTGTAATTTTTAATAAGTCTCTGCCTGTATTTGATGTCTATTATGATGCAAATAAAATAGAATAAAATAAATATGTAACTTTACCTATAACTGCTATGAAGATGCATATTTACCCCAGTATATAATAACTAATAAGTAGGTAAAAATTAATTGGCGCCACTGTGTTATCCCATAATTTATAGCCTTTAAATTTGCATATGTATTTTATATAGCGACTTTTACAGTTTTTTTTTTTCTATGAATAAACTATTTAGAACAAACAATAATGTGAAAAGAAAGTCGTGGGATAGGAATCGTTTACAGGAGTTATCTAAACCTAAATTCGATTTTTACGAGTATACGTGAGTACAAAACCCATATATTTATATACACTTATATGTATATTAATATATTTTTACATTATTTTGTGATTAAAATTGATTTGGCTTTCAGTATCAAAAGAAATTCAAACCAACCATTGAATTAAATAAAAATGATGACTGTTACAATTTAAAAATTTCAGTATAATAGTTTAATTTACTTTTTTTATTATTAAATAAAATAATAAAATTTATCTTTAAAATTGATCCGCATATTATCATTTGATTTCTTATAAGAACAACAAATAGTGAATATTAAATCGTTTTCTTTTTTTCATGATTGATCTCATAAAATATAATTATAATAATTATTGTTTGTAGTGTATTTTTTTGTTTTTACTTAATTGTTTATAATATTAAAATGCATAAATGTAATTTTAACTACCTACGTACTATATTGTAGGTATCTACATGTAATGCAAATAAAGGTAATTATTATTTTATGAAACAGTATTTCTTTTTTAGTTTTTAATTTTAGTAATTGCGCGTTACATTGAAACCGTATGTTACCACGACTAAAATAAAATAATAAAATATTTTAGAACGTAACTAATTGAAAACTGTACAAATATTCAACTGCATCAAATTATTTGTATTTCTCAGAAGGTAAATAAATAATATAGATCGATCATTTTGGTTTTTTGTAAATTTCGATCGAATATAATTTGAAAATGAATAAGACGTAGATCGAATTTAATCAAATTATAATCTAAATTACAGTGTTATGAATATGTAAAGTTAACATTTAATTTAGTATAAAACAGGGTAAATCCGCTGGAATTATTTAATTTTTTACGGGCAATGCCATTCAGGATCATTTAGTAAGAAAATAACCATTGATTCAAGTTAGAATATCAAATATGATTAGTCCAATAACGTATTAAGTATAAAATAAAATCATTATATTATTATATTATTATTATTATTATCATTATTATTATATTATTATTATTATTATCATTATATTTTGTTTAAACGTGTTTTTTTTGTATGGTAACTTGCATTTAAAATTATGTGAATTTATAAATAATTATAACATTTAGTATTTAAAAAATTAAGTTATTTAATTGTCGTATAATTTTGGTGCATGAAATTATTTATTTTTCGGAAGTAATAGGATTTGGGGGTTGTTAAACATGAGATATTTTTATAGATATATTTTTTGTTTGAAGATAACTTTTGTGAAAACATATTATTATAAATTGGAATCAATTTCAGTGAAGAAACGGTGACTATTAGGCGCCATTTTCGGACCATAGATTTTGAGAGGATAAAGGATTTGGCTACACCGCGGAGGGTAACATCGAGCGTCGAACAGGCACCGCGCAAGGTACGCTTGAACATAATATAACAAATATAATTATATATTTTTAGTAGGTAAGTAGGTACCCACACCGATGATTTTATTACTGGAAAAAACTTATGATTTTCATAAGTGTACATAATTTTATCAACAATATCACCTTTACCTTTATTGAAGAAATCATTACTTCTCAAATTAATATTTTTTGAAGATAATCACTTTATATTTTCAATGTGACTCATCAAGACGTTGAATGCTTATTAATCTTTATGTTACCTATTTAATTATTTATGTTTATCGTTTTCCGTTATAATTACGTTTATATACGTATTTCAATCATTTTTTGTCAAATATAACGTTTGCAAGCCCTGGTTTACATTTTTGGATTTTTTTTATTTGCTGTTTTTGAGCAACTTGTCTGTGACAACTGTATATAATATACGTTTTTTATAACTAGGGCAACCTAGGTACCATGACGCGCGATATTGATGACCTGAAAATAGTTATATAATCGGTTGCTATAAGAGCAATTTAGATACTGTAAAACAAAATTGGTCAGAAAAGAATTATACTTAGCTCAAAAACTTATTTGTGTTAATATATAAGTTATTTTATCATGTTTTTAGTACAATTGTTGCAAGGTACCTTTATCGGTATTGTTGCCAAGATTAGAAAAGCTGTCCGTACCACCGAGACGGACTGACGTAACCGAACACGTTAAAACAGACGAAGACACATTTTCGGTATAATATTTATAACACTTACTACAACTAGTACAACTGAACACCTCACGGCTCACATTTTACTGAATATTGTTAGAACCCACATGCCACGTGTTCAAATATTAAAGTAACACGAATTATTTCGGCTGAATCACCTTACATTTTATTCGGAGTTTGTTTATGGTGTATAGAACGTTAAAATACATTTAACCTAATTTGATAAAATATTTTTTTAAACCCTTATCAGTGCATAATTATTTATTTTTTTAATCGAAATACAAATTTTAAGACCGGATTTGGATTGTCCTTTTTTCCTAATCAACTTTGACTTATTGAGTTCAATACCAACACTGCACATTACACAAATGTAATCAATTGATAATATGAGCACAATAATCTGTTGACATTTATTGAACTTTTATCGGATTAGCTGGATTAATAGTAACTTGGATACCAGATATGAGAGAATAATATAATAACCAATTTTACAGCTCTCATCCAGCAATATATTATATATTTATTAAAGTTCTAATTGAAAATCAAACAGAAATAATATTGAAAATAGCTACAATACAGAGTAAAAAAAAAAAAACAAATACCTAAAAAACAAAGGATAAAATATTTAATATTCATAGTAAATATATGTGGTATGTGGGAAATTAAAATTCTAATAATTTATTAAAATATTTAGAGTATGTTATTGGCTTACGCTATTCCGCTATAACTGATTAATTGATATACCTATAGGTAATGAAGTTGTCATTACAAATTTTATATTTATTTCATTTTTATACATAATACATATATATTTTAAATTTTTATTTATATTATAAATTACATATTATTATTAGTTGCTTATTTGTATACAATTATAATTATAAATTTATGACTTTTTTCAAGAATATTTTATGTATACTTAATTTTTCAAAAGCCAAATAAATAATATGGCAACGTTGCACGTAAATTCGTTCTCAATCGTATTGTTTTTGGGTTTTTTTTTTTTTGGGGGGGGGGGGGGGGTGGGGGGTGGGTTCTTTGTTAATTTGAACTGTTTTCAATCGTTTGGCCAAAAAGTATTACTTTTTCAATCGTTTGATAGACATTGAGTTTTTATTACTTTCAGAATTGAATTTTATAGGACTCTTAAAAGTTACCCACATGAATTTATATCTACTAAAATACGTAACATCGCATGGAAATATGCAAAATAGTAAAATTATTGAATTTTTAAAAGATTTAAGAAAAAGTTTTTCATAAAATTATGTGTGTTTTAAATATTTTAATGTCTTCTATTTATAGAAATACTTCAAACAAAATGTAAGGTAATTCAATCGAAATAATTTGTGTTACCTTAAAATTTGAACACATGGAATTCTATTATTTCTTGTCTTTATTGTCTTTATGTGTATACAACCAACGCGGATTTATCAATTATGAATACTTGTTTGAACTTAATGCGTAAATTTACATACTGTATAAACTGTATAATATAATCAGTAATATATTATAACACAATGAACAAATGGTAACAAAAATAAAATAAAAAAATAATCGTGATAAATATATTAATAAGGAGAAAAAGGCATTAATCATACGGCTGTTTAGTAAATAATAAATACTCGAATTGTAATTTAAAAATACGTTTGTTTTAGGTTAAAAAGTCAGCTCTGAAATATATCGCTTCTGAAAGATTGAAACGGTTAGCCACACCACGACCATTGTACCTAGTTGATTGAAACTATTTCGATTAAGTTTTTCTATATACCTATAGCTTAAGCATTGATAGAGTTTGACAAATAACCTCCTATACAAATTAAAATTATTCCTTTCAGCTCCCTACTATCTTTAATCCAATCTTACCTCTTTCATCGTACATTTGCAGATTGATAATGTGACTATATGTGACTATATATCCTCCTACTTTTCAATCTCTGTCAGTGTTCCACGTGAAAGTGACTTGTCATCCGATTTATTTAATATGTATATACATCGTATATTCTAAAAAAACAACAAATATGACCATAATAACTTATGCAGATGATACAGTTATACTCTCATTTAATTCAGACCCTATTCTTTCTTCAAACTATTTCAAAAATCACCTCAAATTAATAAACACCCGGAAAACCAAGCGGAGAATTTTAATAAATCTTTCCATATGATATTTATATTTAAAAAAAAACAATATCTCCTCCCCTCACTTTAATTTCAAGGTGTCGAGATTCTTACATCGAATCAGGTAAAATACTTGGAAATCTTACTAGAAAAAAGATTAACCTGGGGACCACATTTAAAGTTCAAACGTAAAATTCTTAACAACCGCCTTCGTCTACTTAGGCCGATTCTCAAATTTAAGCTATCAATTTACACAAAGTCCAAATTGTTAAAATTAGTACGAGCGTCTGACAGCCCACGAGCAAATTTATTATCAATTATTATATTTTTATTTCTTATCAAATAACCTAATATTATATTACACAAATTGAAATTTGAAATTTGAATATCAATAATATAAGTATATAATATTATTCGTATTGACTTGACTTATTAATTATATTTTAATTGTATTTATTAGGTACTTAATTGACTAACCTATTATATTTAAATTTTTTAACTAAATTATTTTACTTAATTATTTACCATGTTTAAATGCGCATGGTTAATATTTTATGCAGCTGTTTATCATTTAATTTACCCCCTTGTGATACAAACATACTATGGAATTGCTGATGGAATGCGTCCTTCCATATGTACATTAATGTGCCTAATTAAATTGAATTTTTTACCAAATGTTTTATTGCAATATGCGCATTTAAACAAGGTAAATAATTAAGTAAAATAATTTTATTAAAAAATTTAAATATAATAGGTAAGTCAATTAAGTAATAAATACAATTAAAATACAATAAGTCAAGTAAATACGAATAACATTATATACTTATATTGATATTCAAATTTCAAATTTCAATTTGTATAATATGATATTAAGCTATTTGATGAGAAATTAAGATATAATAATTGATAAAAAAATTTGCTCGTGGGCTGTCTCTAGACGCTCATTAAATCAGTAGGATGATTTGGTGAGTTCTAAATCCTGATTCGCTGATCCTTTGAGCTATTTTAACCTAACCAAATCTAACATACCTCCTTTCCTCTTTTCATCACATCTATTACGTAATCTAACATAATTTAAACTATCCCCCACTTACCCTAGCCCCCTCCATCACAACTTTTTACGTACATAGTGTTATTATGTCAATCATCTGTTTTACTTATTGTATTATGAAATACAGATTGTAAATTTCATAAAAAAAAAAAATTATCGATCAAAATTACTATAACTAGAGTTTTAAAAATAAGTCATAAAATGTATTTTATCGATACATTTCATTTTTGTAAAATATAAATAAATTAAAAATAAAATAAAATAAATTTTAAAACGAGACGTGTTATTCATGTGTTTTTGATGTTAGGGCGGAAGAAGTATCTTGTGAACTTAAAAATTAAACTTGCAAAATATCATGGAAATTTAGTGTTATATAATTAAAAAAAAAATTTGTCTTGTGAAAATTGTTTTATATTATAATTACTAGTTACTACCTATGTTATTACATTATATGTATTGATATTAAATAAATTATTCAGAGCGAGTTTGAACTATAGCTCGCCCGGAAATTGAAGTTCTCTTTCGTCAATAATGAACAAAATTTTAAACACCTAATTGCTGGTGGTTAATCAAAATTGAAATCTACGTCACGTAGTTTTTATCATACCACGATAAGTTTTATAAGTTATACACTACATCGGTGATATGTCGTTACTCTGGTCTTGTCAGACTGGAAAAATATTATAAAAAACTTTTATTTATATCGGATGGTAACTCCGCTTTGTTTTTTTATTGGATTAAATTTCTTTGTCAAATTCTAAAAAGTAAAGAAATTAATGTCTGTATTTTAAAAATAAGGGAAATATCGGAGATGGTGGTTAATATTAACACAAGCAATGTAATAATAAATCATATACTATTTTACAAGCATTTATGTACAAATTTTATTCTTAATCTATAATTGAGGGTACATGCAGCTTATTTGTACTTGCAATGATTAATGATCACTAAAAATTTATAGTTTTACTTAATATTATATAATGTAGTAAATACTAAATAGTAAATAGTATTTCACATATTATTATGATATGTTTATAAAATAGTGAGTATATAAATAAATTATATTAACGTTCTGACTTCTAAGTCGCAAAATTACAAGATATTAACCAAAAATAAATACAGTAAATTAATTATAATAATAATTTGACCATTGCAGGCGACAGTAGTTTTACGAGTATTTATGAAGTGGTTAAATTTACAATCTATATGCACAATTTTGAAGTAAAAGCCCATAGATAGTAGGTACTATTGAAATACATTTTATATGGTATATTGGTATGTATTATAACCAAAATAATAGCAGTGCTCATAAACATGTAGTTAAACTATGTATATATTGGTATAATTTCTCATAACTCATCAAAAAAAAAAAAAATCATCCATAAAGAAATTTTATGTAAATAATCATTATTTTAAAAGTTATTGTTAATTTCATAGGCTTTGTAGTTTTAGCTAAAAAAAATAATAATATTTTACAACGTGACTAAAAGTTTGTTTTTATTTTTTAAATATCAATTATTAAATATTAAACAAAAATATTATAAAGAATTTAAATCTTTCTAAAAGTGTAAATTTTAATAACAAATAATATTTAATACAAAATATGTTTTAAATTTAAAAAATAGTCATTTAGCCATGTGATATTATATCTATATATATTTTGAATTTTATTATGATAAAAACAGATTCTAAATCTATTTGGTAGTGATTTGATCAAAGTAAAATTTTAATATTTTTATCTTCATTTTAAATAATTCACAATTATCATAAGTAGGTAGGAAATATTACGCCTAATCGTAATTTAATAGTCAAAACATAAATATAATGCATAGTTACTTATTATGTAACTTTAAAGGTTTTTAATCTAAACAATACCAAGTCAAAAAATGTTACCATTGGAAAAAATATCAATAACAGGATGTCACTGATGTCAGATACACTCAATACTAATAATCTAATAATTAATAATTATATACATAATATATAATATATTAATATGTAATAAGAAATATAATACTGTTTTATACATTTTACGTAAAAGTAATTTTACTTTTAAAAACTAAAAAATTATAGTTCGTAAACATTTTTTTAAAGCGATTAAGTTATCAAATTATATTTTAAAATTTGAAATAATGTATACGGATAACGTGACGATCCTAAGTGCATGTAAGAGATTCATTATTTCAGAAAACGTTTTTGAAAATATTTCTTTTTGATAATTTTAAATTGTTAAAATATTTATCTTTTAAGTTTTTACTTTTTTGAATTAGTACATACAATTTGAATTCCACATTCCTAGTTAGAATATATTCAGAGTATTTTTATTTATAAAAATCATATCTCAAAAAAGTAATTTATTAGTTATAGGTATTTAAAGTTTTGATGAGTAAAGTAGAGGACCAACGTTTTGCGGAATACCCTTGTACTATTAAAATCCGCTCAACTAGCTTTAAGTACTTATACATTATTATCACTCGTTCATGTTTATAATATCAAAGTACTCCAAAAAAATACACTATAGAATAAGAAATTAAAAGTGAATGCTCTCATCAGAAGAAAACAAATTTCACAATAAAATATAGTAAAAGTTTAATTTTTATTTACAATAAAACTGTGGTTTTTAGCCACTCAAGATATTATGAAAAAAATATATTTTCAAAAACGTTATTAGTCTTTGAAATAATGAATGTCCTACGTTAAACAACGGTAAATAATGAAATGTTATTAAAGGGTAATATTTAAAAAAATACTTTTCGAAAAAATATCTTGGTTTGATTATTATTGAAAAATTTACTAGAAATCGAATGTCGCGGTCAAATGCAGTGTATACATTTAATATACGTTAAATGGCGCTTTAAGATGAGTGATAATAATTATTGTTACAAAACATACCATTTCCAAACGTGATTTTAGAGAAAAATGAACTAATTATTTACAATTACAAATAATAAAAAAACTTTATGATTCTTATGTTAAATTTATTCTCGGTATTTAAAAATGCGGCAAAACGCAATAAATCCAAATATTATTAGTTCAAAACGTATAGTTACAACTTGAACCACTTTCTACATTATGTTAAAATGCACATGTTTTTTTACTATAAGTAAATATAGCAAACAAAATTAGAGTAATTAGTAATTACATAGTGTACTATTTCCAGTTGTTTTATAATGCTTGAATGCATATTATTAATCTTTTGTATAATTATTATTAAGTTATTTAATAAATTTAATCGTATGAATTCATTTGAAAAACTAATTTATTACTTATGGTTGCTATATTATTATTATTCCAAATATCTAGTGTTATGGTTGTTGGTATAGTAAATTGCGTCAAAAGTGATGATGATCACTGATCAGTGTTTTCATTTATTACACTATTACACACTTATATTTATGTTAATTATTCAAATGTTGACTAATAAATCTTTTTGTACTTGTTCTTATGAGTTATGACTTAGTTAATATCATATTACTATAAAAATAAATAACTTGATATTTTTATTTTACATTAATAAAAAAGGTATTGAGATAATCTTAAAAAGAAATTTATCACTTTTTACGGTATAAATTTTGTTTAGTACTTAAATTGTTTACTCAAACATTATTTTATAAAAGTAATTCATGTAAATAAATATAACATACTATATAGCAATTACCTACTAAAATTTAGTAAAAAAAAAAAGAAATAAGATAAGATTTTACTATGTTATAATTGGGTTAGGTTTCTAGATATATCATATAACTTTACAATATATTATGATATTATGAAAAAATTAAAAAATATAGTGATAGAAAGGTACGATTGATTATTAACATCTCAATATATAAGTTTAAAATAAAAAAATCCTAGAAATAACGTGTTATGGTAGAATATTGAACGCAAAATGACCTTTATTAGATAGGTAGGTAGGTATATCAATTACTTTCAACTGTCATAGCTTAAAATATTAAAATAATCAGTCTTGTGAGTTGATACCCGAGTCTGAATGGCTCTAACCCATAAACCTCAATTATGAAAGTGGTGCTCGAGTAATTTTTTAGTTATGTGATAGCCGCCACTGCATCTCATTGGCTAGCATTTAGCTAGCACAACAACAAAACATTAAATTACGTCAATCATCCTTTACTCTTTACTTTAATTACGGCATATCCCATATAATTAGGAGCTCTGTTATAGACAGCTTAAGAGATTGTTAAACAGTCATATCAGCTTTTAAGTACTAATAAGGGTCGTGGACTTTGTTACAGCTGCATCGCCACCTATACGAGTACCTCTCGTATTAGACTAACGCATACTACCTGGTAGAATAGGTATTTATATATATATTTGGTCGAAAAACTCTATTAAACATTACTCAGTTAATTCTTAAATTTAATAAATAATTATCTACTTTGTAAAACTACATTTCGATTTAACTTTATTTAATCAACCTCAACCTCATCCGACTAATTGATGTTTACGTGTCTTCATCGTAAAAGAAGCATGCAATGACCGAGTGGTAAGAGCACAGACTGGTTACTACTACAGTAACTATTGTCATACAAATTTTGTCTTGAATACTAAGTTAAAAAGAATTGCTATCGTGAAAAATTACAAAATTGTTACCGTGTATTAAAAATGTTCAAACCTGTGGAGTGGATGGGGTAGGGTGTTAAGCTCTCCTTCATGTGTATCCCTCATATTATTTATGCAGTATAACTCATTAAATTTAGATAATAGAAGAATGGATGTGTTATGTATATGGTATTAAAAATAGTACGTTATGTAGTATATTATGTATATAATTTATTAATCAAAAATTGTAACAAATAAAATAAAAATAAAGTGAATCAACAACCACAATAATGGGTACTTCTACATACAGTCAAAATTAAAAATCAATCATTAGTCATTTACTAATTGCTATTGAAATATATTATAATAATATGATAACAGTAACTGAATAAAATAAACTATATTTTAATTAGATATAACACTTAAAATGTGTTTGTGTAAATTATGTCTTTTCAGGTACTCTTAAAATTGAATATTATACATGTTATTAAAAATTTATTAAAATTAAATATTAACATTAGATACATATATTGATTATACTTATAACTACTAAAGTAGCGATAACTATGTTTTATGATTATGGATTACATGTTATTTCAAAATAATAGTGGTGAACTACTATACAAATATTATTCAATTATACAATTATCAAATTAAAATTTGTAATGTTTTGCATTAAAAATTTTAGTGGTTTATGAAGTATACTCAAGTCAATACTAATCATTAAATTAAATTTCTTCAATTTTTAGGAACTTATATAATCTTTTTTTTCTATAATTTTCAAGGAAGACATTTAGGATTGCACTGTCAAATATAAATCTATTTATAGTAATTAATAATACTATGTGATCACAGCTACGGTATATTTGCAAAAAAATCAAATACTTGATGGGTAAAATATATTTTGTTTGGGTTACATTATAATTAAACATAGGTATAATATATATATATATAATGATGATATATGGTTACAGCAATTTTTAGCTTATGTGATTTAGAAACTTAAGAAATTATCAAAGATGAATATGGCTATGTATTGTGAAAGTACACAAATATTTTATTTTGATATAGGCCTAAGACAATAGCATTTGATGAGTAAGAAGTTATACTTGTAAATTAAAACAATTCAAATAAAATTTAACGAGATAAAACATAATTATGCTATTTAAATATATATTAATACATATTGTTATAAAGAATTACATGTTACTAGTTAGCTATACTAATTTAATGATACAATATTTAGTTAAAAATCTTATTCACAGGGTGCTCTCAAAGTTTGTCATCCTATATTATACTTGCTCACCCCCTTGTTACAATTTAAGATTTAAGACCACAATGAAAATAAGTAATTTAACTTTTAAAATAGTTACAAAAATCTTATAATAGATTAAAAAAAAAAACACACATTATAAGTTATGAAAATTGTGACTTTCAATACATAGAAATTTTTCAAACAAAATATTATAATGGTTACATACATACTGTAGATGGTATTAGTCATTAAACATGCAAGAGTTATAATAATAGTGTATAGAGTATTAAATATTTAATAACATGTTAAATCATGGGTTCATAAAAATTATATTTTTACAATATATAATAAATTATTAACATAGTATAATTTTTTTACTGTCATACATAGGTAGATGACTAATTGATAAATTTTCTTTTAAATAAAGTAGTGTTATTAAAAACTAAACCCAAAAGCCCAAAATTAAAAGAGAGTTAATGAGGTAAATTATATTATATAAAAAATGAATTGAATTTTGATTAGGCATAAAGTATAGTTCCAATGAGAGTTTACATATTTTATTCACCAACCCATGAGTTTAAATGTTTTAAATTAACGATCTAAACTCCTTTTAAATAATTAGATGAATATAATTTATCTAAATATTACCTCACGGTTAGGAGATATAATACAGTTGGGTATAATTGTCTATTATCTTAAAATTTGTATTGTATAATACTAGGTATATTTAATATAATATGTTAATCACAGAAAAAAATATTTGATTCAAAACAGAAATAAATAATATTAATAAATATAAAACAATAATAATAAATTAAACTATAAGTAAAAACTAAAAAAATAGTAACAGAATACTTGATCATATTTGTTCGGAATAATACTATGATCACAGGCTAATATTTTTCAATACTGTATAATATTATAATAGTTTTGTCCGTAATTTACTGCACGGCACTCTTAAATACTATCCAATTTCTTCAATAATACTCTTAGTACTAAGTACTTATAAAATAAGTATCATAAGTGTATGATATTAAATTGAGATACAATCAAAGTGTGATTTGAAAAAATTAATTTTCATAAAACTTAAAAAAAAAATAATAATAAGTTTCAATTGTTTAATGTTTTAAATGAAAAAAATTATTAGCATAAGTTAATAAATTATTAAATAAAGTTATTATTCTTACCTTATACGAGTTGTATGACAAAGGTAAATAAGTTAGCTACCTTTAAATTGACCCCATCAGTTTAATTCGTTTTCTTCATTGAATAGAAACTTGTTTGATTATAGACGTTTATCAATAGCAGCTGCTTCTTGCATCCATTGTTCAATTTCATGTCGATACATTCGTCGCTGTAATACTTGACGATTTCTCGGTCGACTTCCCAAAAATGATATTTTACCCTATTAATTTTAAAATTATAAATAAATATTACTAATTAATATATTTAAATACAATAATTAGTATTTATATCAGCACTTACAACTCCAACAAACATATCTGATCTGTATTTTTGCAATGCTTGGAAATCTTTCACATAATTCATAACATCTTCCCATTTTAATTCAATTTCCTCGTGGAGCAATTTTTCCTCTATAATAAGTTAAGTAATTTAATATCAACATTGGATTTTGATAATATTATTAAATTAAGAATAATCATTACCGTCTCGTTTTGTAGTTTGCTTTTTGTATTGAATTCGGAACCTAAAAGCTTCAAGAACTGATGCAACAACTATAGTTAACACAACCATGGTAAAGAGATAAAATAATACAAAGTATGCTCGACTAGCAGCATGAACTTTTGTCGCATATCCATTCATCACAACAAACCAATTATTGACAACCGTCAATTCAAATAATGTTACAAGACTGACAGCCAAATTAGGAAAAGTGTTTAAATAATAATAACCAGATTTGTCAGGCGTGTATTTATAATATGTTTCAATGTTTGTGCCACTAAAATTTTTAATAAATATATTTTGTATAATTAAACAAACAAATTTAATGTAAAAATAATGATAATTACTTGCAACAATTTCTCATATCATAGCCAGCAAACAGTTCCATTCCAATTATGGCAAAAAAATAATACATGACAAGCATAACACATCCAGCTGATTTAATTAAAGGTGATAAAATCGCCATAGTACCAATAATGTCTCGATAGCGTTTTTTTAATTTGAATAATCGTAACAACTTAAGTGGTCTAAAAACGACTACATAGACAAAATCTGGAAATAGACGTAGGGATATTACAGCAATCAAACCTCCAAAGGTTACAACAAAGTCGTATAAATTCCAGCCAGATGAAAAATAACGTTCTAATCCCATGCCAAGTGTCTTCAATGCTACTTCTAGAGTAAAACCTACAATATAAGATTTTTTTATAGTTTAAAATTATAAAAATTTGACATAAGATTAATAATTAAGCTATTTTAAATACATGCTAAGAAGAAGCAAGTGTCCCATCCGGCACTAAATGCAATTACTGAAGTTTGTAAGTTAGGATAAGATTGCATTCCTCGTTCAATCATTGCAATACCATTTAATGTCGTTAAAACGTCTAAAATTAAAAACATATTTTAAATAATTTTAAAATTCATAAATAATATTATAAACATAAATTTTTTTACAAAATATGTGATCAAAGTATGGCCATGAAATGATTGAATTTGCAGTTTGACAAATTCTTTGTACTGCTGGGGATGCTGTGAAGTACCAAGGTGTATCTAAAGCTTGTGGTTGCCAAGTCATCATTACAGAGTCATATATCCCATAAAATTCTTCAATGGTCAATGAACCAGTTCCACTTGTGTTTAAATATCTAAACATAACTAATAAATCTCGGTTACCTGTAAATAATACAATGATGATAAGTTAGTCTCTAATAATTAAATGGTATTTATTTAATTTTATTTTTTTTGGGGGCATAATATCTCATTACTCCTTCAAACTGAGCAAACTCCATTTGGTTAGGATTTTCTTTGGTCAAAAGTAGCTTAAATGCATTCTTACATGCTTGACGTTTGTGTAATAGTAATTTTCGGAACTTATCTCTTTCAATACTAGTGAATGTTTCATAAACCACAGCCAACATCTGAAATAAATTTATTATAATAGTTAAAATTTAGCAGTTTATTATATCAATTATATTAAATTTATTCACCAAATTCATGAGGAGATATAATACAATGCATAAGTATGAAATAAAGAACAAAGAATACCACTTAGATTTTGAATAAGCTGGCATCATGATATCTGGAAAACTAAAATATACCATATTACCATTGTAATACTTAATTTTAATATAAATTATTGAAAAAACATTACTAACTTGGCTGTAGTTAATAAAACAAACATATTGACAAAGCTGTTAAATAAAGTATCAAAGTGATTGTGTACATCTGTGGTACTTTTGAATAAATAATATCCAAGCACAGAATATACAGTGACAAAAAAAAATATCAATAACAACATATCAAATATTGGAGGTAATGATTGAAGTATCTGTCGAATAAATCGCCGAACACCACCTAAGTAATGAGTATCCACTAAAAAAATTGGCCGCAATGCTCTTGATACTCGGAAATGAGATGTTTGACGTATTAACACTACAAATGCTTCAACAATCATAATTGTCAACGTTATACACTAAAATGAAAAATAAATGGATATATTATTATGGATAACTATTAGTTGATATAATGTAAAAAAAGTAATACAAATAATTGAACTATCTATAATTATATACCTTTTAATTATTATATTAGAAGCACTTACTTTTAACATGGTTCGTTTGTGTTTCAAAATTGTTAACCAACCCATCCATCTAAGTTTCAATGCTAAACCAAGGCCAATCACTGCCAAGGAAAATAGTTCAATAATACTATGTAGAGCAATTGGCATCTATGAATTAATAAATCATAAAATTAGTAATAATCAATTATTTATAGAATTGTCTTACTTTAAATGGTGGCGTAGCCGGATCTTCAGCGAATGCTAATACAATTAGGACTAATGATGTAGCCAAATCCATTCCATAGTACCAGTCATTATGTACCAATAGATAAGCTGGAAGAGCTTCAGGTTCGTGTGGATGAGAATCAAATTTTTCATTATTTTCTCCTTCCTAATAAATTGTAGATCAAAAAAAATAGATGAATGGTTCAACATTTTTTCATTAAAATAGTTTACTTCTAAAAATATAGATGCTTCATGGTAGTTCATCTCCCAAAACTGATTTACATCTATTCTACGATCACCATCACTAAATATCACATCAAGACGACCGTCAAAGTGATTTCTTAAATCTATATTTTCACCATCTTCATTTGGTATTGTTGAATCATTAATACTTAATGGAACGTCTCCATTGCGGTCTAAACATGTAAATAAAAAATATTATCCAAAAATAAAAAAAAATCAAAATGAATAAAGAAAAACTCACTAGGTGATTGGGCATGATATGAGTTTACAATAATATCATCTTCAAATCTTGAATAGTCAGTCATTTTGAAGGTTTTTGATCAATTAATAGAATAAGTTGAAAATGATTAAATAAAAACTACACAACTCTGAATATAACTGGTGGAATCCATGGTATGAACTATCTTTGAATTCATAGGTATCTGTAGAATATTTTATTTGTATTTAAGTGAACCTGACCCATTTTAAATGAGAAAATAATTTACATGCCTAACGTGCTGATGAATGAAATATTAACTAAAATTTAGATTTGCATAAATAAATAAAACTGTATAGTGTATGTTAATTAAGTAAAATGTTTCAGGTCCACTTAGTGTATTTTTAATATTTTATATGCAGATCATGACGTGCACCACTGTGTAGTGTGTACACTACAGCTTAATGATACACACTATTAAGTTACAAAATATTAAGAAGTAAAGTATATTATAATACTCACAATCATTAATCAGTAAAATACATACTAAAGATAAAACTTAACATTTAGTGTTAGGTGTTAACACGTCGTCTTGGTTTGTTATTAGGAATATCAAAACAAAAAGTTGTGAATGTTATTGTTAACAAATATCTTGATAAGAGTAATCATGCGTAAAACAGGATGTGTTAGGTTAGTGGTATGAAAACTATAACCAATTGGCAATTACCAAATGTGTACACTATTGTTATTATTTTAATTATTATTTTAATAAAAACAATTCTATTTGCATAGTTTAATTTGTTTTTAATGACAAGGGCAGTATTGTATTGTCTAACGCGTTTATATAATATAAAATATTAATAGTTTTTTACACATGAGAGTTAGTCGGTGCCCGGTGGGAAATAGACTTGTCACCACCGACATTGGCAACACTGTAAACAGATAACCTCAATTCGACTTGTTCACTTACCAAATAACAATTCTTAACGCTGTCTTCTTTTTTACGAGTGTTCTATTAACGTAGTGTTATACTTCCACCGATTTTCCAGTAAAGTAAGTACCCATTTTTATCCGTTCTAATCTGTTCAATCTCTTAAGTTTGGCTAATTACGATGATTTCAATGAGTATCTATTAAAATGTCTTTGTAAAATATATTAAAAATATTTCCCCCCGAAAAATTGGCTTATAAACAGCCGTTGTGTAAAATTCGGTTCGTCGCTTCATAAAATTGTATTTATCGTTAACATTTTGTTAATATTTATTTAATATGTGTGTGTAATTGAATCCTCACATTTATATTTGTTACTCTAGATTTTCGCATTTTAATTTTATTATCATCAAAGGAAAAAACAGGAATTTACCGGTATTGTACTAATCTCATTCTGTTCTAATTTCATTGTCTAGTGAAAATGTAGTCTTGAAAAAATTGTGCCCATTAAGAATAATCGTCTCGTAAAAACTGAAAAAGTTATTTTTTAATTATTAATGAGAAATAGGTTCCGATGAATGATTCATAGTCTCGTACTGCTTAATGTAGTTGTAGTATTATTTAAAATGCATTTTGGTATTATAATTTAATTAATTATTACATAATATTACCATTATAGTGTTGAAGTTTTAGGAAAAGTATGACCTAGAAAGGTATTAATCATTTATATTTAATTTTGTATTATTATCATCAAAATATATTTCAACTTGAATCATTGTTAGAAGTTTGTTCTTTATAATAATGAATATGATTCGTTAGCATAGATTGAAATAATATGTCTACTAATAAATATTATCTGATATATTTATTATATCCCAAATTTATTTTAAATATTTTATCTAATTTAAATTTTTTTTTAGATGGTTAAAGTTAAAGAACCAGTTGCAGCTAAGTCTGCATCTTCTGATGCAAAAAAGAAGTTAAGACCAAGCAAAGTTAAGAGCTTGGCTAAATATGAAACCAAAAAGAAGGCTAGAGCAGCAGGTACCCTGAAGAAAAAGCCTAAGCAAAATTTGTTGAGTGGTTCAGCTACATGGAAAGTGGTTTACAAGAGTGGAACATGGCGTTTCGTTCATAGACCAACTGAAGCTAAGTTGATAGCTAAGGCTAAAGCAGAAGGAAAACCATTGGCTGAAACTCCAGTGAATATTTTATTTGCTTAGTACTTTTTATACTATGGTTATAAGTTATTTCAACATAATTGTAATTTTATAGAAAAAGAAGAAGTCTATAATTGTTAAACCAATCAAGGGCGAGAAGAATGGTGAAACCCGTGAAGTACACACTGTCAAACGCAAGGCATACTACCCAACATTGAAATCGTAATTATAAATACATTATTATCTTAGGTTAATTTTAAATTTAGCGTTTAATATACCAATAAGTAGTAATTTAAAGAATACTTAAGTGAATGTTTTTTTTATTTTTCTGCTGTAAGTTACAATCACAATCAATGCTACTAATGTTTTACATGTTAAATCAAATTTTTCCAACTAATGACGTAGTCAAGTGTTATGATGATTCGCCTATGCTCTGTTAATGCATTTATTTCTATCAAATTTTAATGTTCAGTAAATTTGGCATTAATCATAACTTTTTTATATTTAAGAAAAGCATGATAAATTGTTGATATTTTAGGCTACAAAGTACAGATGTATACTTACTAAGTACTCTGCTTCATTTAACATGTTGCTCATTTTAAAAAATTGGCTATGACTTATAAAATCATGAAAGCAATTTCAGTATTGAGCTATGATATGCCTGTAGCTTATAAATATACTTTCATTGATTCTTCTGTGTGATTTTAGTTGCTATGTTTTTCTATTAAATTTAAATAGCGATTTAAGCAGTTATTGAACCAGAGTCGCAGGTTATACGCATTGAAGTATTCCTGTGCTAAAGAAAGTTCATAAATTATTTTCATTTATATTTATGCACCTTTTATATATATTTATGTACAAAATGGACACAAATAAGTGATACATTATATTTAAGCTTATTGTTATATTTAACTTTAATTAAATAGACTTATATATATTTTTAAATATTGAACCAGAGTCGCAGGTTATGCGCATTGAAGTATTCCTGTGCTAAAGAAAGTTCATAGATAATTTTCATTTATATTTATGCACCATTTTTATTATTAATGTATACAAAATGGACACAAATAAGTGATACATTTTTTAATTTTAAAATTATAAATATTGAACCAGAGTCGCAGGTTATGCGCATTGAAGTATTCCTGTGCTAAAGAAAGTTCATAAATCATATTCATTTATATTTATGCACCTTTTATATGTAAATCTATATTAAATGGACACAAATAAGTGATATATTTATTAATTTTGATCTTAATTTATTACATCTATGACAAAGAATGCTAAGTTTAATTTGTATGTATAAAGTATTCATGTGATTAAATTCAATTTATTGTAAATTTTACCAAAAATGAATGTATTGAATGTATATTTAAGTGTCATTTTTTTTGTATTCTTATTGTTTTAATAATACCTACAAAAATATTTTTATGTTTATAGACCAAAGAAACATAAGTCTCGTGGTTTATTCAAGAACCATAAGCGCAATATCCGTTCATCATTGACTCCTGGAACAATTGTTATTTTGTTGACTGGTGTTCATAAGGGCAAACGTGCAGTCTTGCTGAAAACACTTGATACTGGTTTACTTTTGATCACTGGACCATTTATTTTAAATGCCATTCCAATGAGACGTGTACATCAAGGTCATGTAATCGCTACCAAGACTAAGTTGGATATTTCAAGTGTTAAGATTCCCGAGGAGGTTGATGACAAGTACTTCAAGCGTACTTTATTGAAGAAAAAGCCTAAGAAGAACGATAGTAAAAGCTTATTTGTTCAAAAACCCAAGGTATTATTGTTGAGCTCGATTAATTATTATTCCATTTAACTTCAATATTATTTATGTTTTATTTTTTTTTTTTAGACCTACCGACCAACTGAAAAAAGGAAGTCTGATCAAAAGTTAGTAGATGCACAGGTATTGAACATCATTAAGAAACACCAAGATAAGAAATCTCTTTTCTTGTACCTTTCATCTATGTTTGGCTTAAGGAATAATCAATACCCACACAGAATGCAATTTTAAATTTACTGTATGTATTGGTTGTTTCTTTCTTTATGAATACATGAATATACTGGTACATGTATTTTTTAATTGTTTTTTTTTTTTTTTGGATTATTTTTGAACCTGAAAATTCCTTTTTCTGATATAAGTATTCTTTAAATGACAAAATATATAATTTAATCCAATATTAATACTTTGTACATTTTTGTACAAAAAAATATATATACTTCTATTATTAACCCATATAGTATTAAATAATGTATTAATACCTTAAATTAACAGTGGCCTTGTCTATAAGGTAGCTGTTGTAATAACTGGTAAAACTTAAATTAGTGATATAGACTTAATAATTTGTTGTTTACATATTATATCAACTATATAGTAATAATTGGCATTGATAATACTCTGTAACAGCGGTTCTTAATCTGTGGGCTGTGATCTGCGTCAGCCTTAATAATTGCATACTACAACACGTGATGTATTTCAAATGAAAGATATACAAAAAAAAAATTGTTGAGGGAGTCCGTGTTCTACTAAAGGTTAAGAATTGTTACTCTGTATAATATTGTATTGTCATAATTTATGTACGATAATCATCCTTTAGGAGTTTGCTAAAGGTCGATCATCAATAACTATTGACCAAACTCATTTTATTAAGTCATATATTTGTATACTTAGTATTATATTGAAAATTTAAAATAATTCAAATAGTGTGTAAAGCTATGTATTAAAAATAGTATATTATACTGAGAGATACATTTTAAATAGATGTTGAATATTGATTTATAGTTTCAAAATGATAATTTTAGTTAAAAAAATATAAAATAAAATATTAAGCTAAATAATTTTTTAGTTGAATGTTGTTACAGTTGTATTTGAATATTTTATTATAATTTAGTGTTGTCTATTACCACGTGAAATAGAAAGTAACTAAAAATTACTATTGTACCTAGTATTTACTGACCTATGATTTTATTTTGGTAATTTGGTTTGTAGAACAAATCTAAGCTATTCCAAATTCGTAACTCGTAAGCAGTATTTTTTTTATATAAGAAAAGTATGCTAGGTTAAGTTAATATTTTAAACATTGATTTCACTTAGTTTTAACATGAAAAGAATTGCTGCATACACGTTGCACGTAGTAATAGCGTAACAGTTTGAAACAAGTATTATGCAGTGAACACAACGTTTTAAGTTTCCATAAATTGTTCTAACGGTAAATAACTGCAATTATACGCGTAGGTATATCATAATGAATGTTATATTAGGAATAGCTTATGGAACATCGTATTCTGTGGCTATTCAATCGAAACCAATTTGTTGCGCCAGATTTAAAACGTACACGGGAATTCCATTAGATTGTCGCCGAGAATCTCATCTTGAGTGCGAAATTCATCTCTTGCACGATCGATTCGCGTGTGCCCATTGTACGTAGACACGTAGTATAATATGTCATAATACGAGTTGTAAATTTGTAATAGGTTTATAAGTGTACAATAGGTATTTTTAGAATGCTGAAATTGTATTTACTGTAAAAACAGTTCTTCTAGAAATATTTGTCTCGTCGAAAGTCTTATTATTTGTGTAACTTGAGTTGTCTCACAATTCCTTGAACAAACTTTTCCGGTACGTTGTGCATCCTGAAATTATATTATAATTGTTTATTTATTCAAAATAATGCGGAAACGAATGTCATTTGTTGGTTGTCAGTTATAATAATTATTGTTTACTTGAGTTCCTCGATTTTATTGTACATTGTGTCCCGTAACATTTTTTGCCTAGAAAGTTCTTCTTGTTTCAACTTAATTCCTTCTTGGAAGAATCTTTTTCTTTCTAGTATCCTTTCTTGTTCTTTGTCGTGGATTTGTTTTAGTAGGTTTTTACGATGTGCTTCGATTTTCTATTATACAGTACACTTACATTAAAAATTATAGGAGTTACTGGTTTAGACAAATGATTAGTATTCATGTATGTAAGTACCTATCTACCTATATAATACGCGGCCAAACTTATGTTTCCTCGATGTATAAGTTTATTAGTGATGGTTTTAGGTGATAATAAAAGTTAAAAATAATTGTTATTAATTACCTATATGGATATATATAACACTTATATTGTTATTTATTGCAAAACTATGTTGACATAGTTGACTTATTTATGTTTAAAATTTTATGAATGAAAGTTTTTAAGCAAAATATGTGTTTTAAATAGAATGTAAAATAATTATAGATCCTCGGTTCTTGATATCATTTCATCGTTAATTGTGGGGCAACAATGCAAAACGTACCTACTATTTGTATTTTTGTCAAAATGGAGTTATACATTAAAACATGTTTGAAATTGCGGCGGATCGATTGGCATCGTCAGATTAGGTAAAAACGTACTATTTCTCATTCAATAACCGATTTTAAAATAGTCAATTGAAGCAAAACGTACTATTTGCACAATATAAATTTCGTCAAAATGAAGTATTTACTGTTTGAAGCTAAACGTACTATTTGCTATAGATTCCATGATAAAAATTGAAAGAATGTTGTCAAAACGTACTAATTAGTAATTACATCAATTTTTTCAAAATGTACAATTTCCATCGATGATGCAAAATGTACTATTTCCCATGTAAATGGTATAGGACGGAGAATGTATGGATGTAAAACGTACTATTATCAAAAACGACGTTGTCCAAAAATTCTTTTTTAATGGTAGATTTTAATTTTTATTAAATAAGATTGTTTCAATATATGATAAAAGATTTTTGTTTAATACCTATATTATCAATTTGCCAATCGAAATTACAAAAAAAAAAAATCGTTTATAACTTTGAAACATTAATTTTTATGCGCGCCAAAACTTGGTGATAAGTCCCAACAATGAAATTGAATTATTGATGATTACACATATTTTTGCTCAATGCTTGTACAATTATTATTTTACCATGACAAATAATTATCTATTATACTTACATTTTATTTTATACATAACATTCATTTACCATGTCGAAAAGAATAAAATTGATAATGAATAAGGTGAAAAACAAGGTAGGTACATACAGCTATATAGTAAAACAATATAATATTAAAGTAGGTAGGTACTTGAAAAATAACATAATGTCAGAACTTTTAATCTTTTGTATACCACCAATCATATCATAAAATAATCAATAGCTAATTTATGATTTCTACTATTCATATCTTCAGGTAGTTGATGTTGAGAATCAACTGTCAAATATTAATACGATGAACAACAAAGTTCTCAAAGCTGCTAGAAATAAGGTAATGTTTACACCTCTACAAATTATGTTTCCTAACTTATTAATTTAAAGATATTTTTTTGTATTTTATATCTGGAATAGTAATAGTTATCTACATTGCTGTTCTAATGACATTATAATAATTACTAATTATTATAATATTATAGTTGTCTTACAATGATTCAAATTGTGGTCCTCTGACATTCAGTTCTTTAAAAAATATAAGTTATGATTCAAATCATAACATGATGATACCAGTTTCCTATATGTTATATATTTTCTTAGCTTATCGAAATTTAATTGAAATTTATAAGTCTAATAGAACACCTAGGTAGTTGAGTCAAAGTATTTCAATTTCTCAGCTTAAAATTATATTAAATTATATTCATTATACAATTTAATTTATAGAAATAGAACGTTTTGTAAAAATGTTGTTTAAAATATAACATGCTATATTTAAGTAAAAAAAATAAATTCTAAAATATTTTTACCTACATAAATGTATTTATTAGATTTTTATCTATTTTTAAACATTTTAGCAACATTTATATCTTAATTGTTTAATACACAGTAGAAAATGACCTCTCCTGAAAAATATGTAAAATGCAAATAGTACGTTTTGCATTGTCGCCCCACAATTTAGGAACCCCCCAATACGTAATAATATTATTTACCATTTTATTTTTTTCTTCCATTTCTTTACTCTTTTTTATGTCTTCTATATTAAGTTTAGCGATTTTTTCGGTTTCGTCCTTTTCTCTTTGAATTTCAAACGCGTATGCTTTTCTTTGATCTTCCATCTGTTTGCGTCTTGTTGCGTTTAGTTCTTCTTCTATCGCGGCTTTTTTTATGGCCTCTTCTCGTTCCTTACGGCGCCACTCACGTTCTACCTTCAATCGTAAAGTATTAACATAGTCTATTAAAGTCTAAAGATGTATTATGTAGGTACTTTGATATCATGATGAGACTATTGAAAATAATTACACATTATATTATATCATCAATATTTATATTTATAACAAGTATAATGTACACTGGGTTAATATGAAACATCCGAGTATCGAGTAGGTAACCGCAATGTTTTACGTCACCTGTCGTTTTTACGCATCTATCATGCCGCCCGAGATTTGACAAATTTTGGTGAAACAGTTTTTTATTTATAGGTATTTATTGTTTTTATACTATTATCGATAATAGCAGAAATGAAAAAGATATTATTTTGTAGACATCTACAAATATTGTTATGTAATACCAGTACGACGACTACGGCGGGTATGAAATATTTAGATTTTGGTTTATAATCCTAGTAACCCAGTTTCCACCACGAAACGAACATTTTACTGAGAACTATTCTTATTTTTTTGTTTCAGTGATATTGCAAATCGTAAAATTATCAAAATAATATTCCTCAGTTAAAATATACCTCTTTTTATGGTGTACATTTGGTTTTCAACTAACATAACTATATAACCAGTGTGTTTTTCTTATATATGAAAATATTTTAAGTTTTAATTTTGTAATTCTGCAATAATTAAAAATGGTAGGTATAACTCATGAGACCACTATAAAAACTTGTAAGCCATTGATCTAACTAGTCTTTAAAATCTTACCTATCGTTCTTAAAATTTCCATATAAGTTCCTTAAAAATGAAAAAGTTTTATTTATACGTCTTATTCCTGACTTTAATTTGAACTTATACTCACCCATAAATGATACATCGCAAAACTTAAAGTTTACTAGGAATGTCCCAATATTTAAATTATTATAGTTTTAGGTTAGGTATATAAATGCTTAGCCTAGACTATGTACGTGCCTTATATTATTATTTTTTAAACAATTTTTTTATAATAGGCTATATATTTTTTTGACATTTTTTTTTTAGTTTCGAAAAAATGTAATGCTTTGATCGTTTGTGTACACATAAATATGTAGGTATAATATATTAAAACATTTTATTGTTATTGTTATAAGTACTGTGTTTACCTGGTCTCTAACTCTGAGCGCGTTTAGTTCGTCTTTAGTTGCACGTAAATCGTATGTAGCTTGTTGACTCGCCTGTATCTTGGCAATAGTTTTTTCCTTCAGTAGTTTTTGCTTTTGTAGCTCTCGCTCGAACGCTATTTCCCGTTCGTTTTTTTTGCGCGTGTACTCTTGTATCTATGACAGAATAACGATAATTTAGTTTTAATTAATTAAAACTTGAAATAAAATCATATTTTATTATTAAAACGATATTTTATCGATATTATAATTTGTAGGTTAACAACTTCATTAACGGAATAAAAATTATTTTGTATTGCATACGTGCATATACGTATTTATATTTGAAATAAATATAATGTGATCGTCGATCGGATCTATGTTATATATTATTTAAAATTTTAGTAGTGTTAATTATTTTATAATTTATTTTACTGGTCACAGACTTTATTTTATAAGTAGTCTGAAAAAATAGTAAGCTAATATATCAGAGGTGGCCTAAACGAACATGTTTGTTAGTCACATAGATAAAATACAATGGCGCTAAGATCCAAATCTCCTATAGTTTCATACCTTTTTATAAGTATACATATATATATAAATAAAAAAAAATTAAAATTCATAATAACAATGAGTAAATTTTGATTTTATAAATAAGACGTGAACCGCAAATAATATATGAATACTGTTATATATTATTCCTTTTTAAATATTTTAAAGACATAATTAATTTATATTAATAAGCTTATTTGTTAAAAATTAAAATAAAACCAATAACTGATAAATAATTCAAAGTATTTCTCGGAAAATTTTAATATAGGGGAATATTAAAAAAAAATAAATTGCTGTGTACCGTTGATAGGTATTTACATAGTATTATATAGCTACAAATTTCCATGGAATGTTTATTTATTCAACCGATTTTATGGAATGTTGAATATACCGTTGTGGTGTATTTATATACGTTTACAGATCGCATTTCTTATTGTAATATAGTTTTTACTTGAAGGTACATAAAATATACTTAAAGTAAATACGAAATATACATTTAACTCGATTCACATTTAAATATATAATATTATATACCATAATAGTATATTTATATGTAGAGTGTAGCCAGTGTAGGTATCTAAGTACTTTTTCGTTTCTAACCACTGTAATAACTAATAATCGTTACCTGTAGCACTTCGATGTTATTCATCTCCTCTTCTAGTTTTTTCGAATCTCTTATCTGCGCGTTGAGCAACATGTATTCTTTGCGTAGTTGTGCTTGTTTTTCCATTCTTTTCTTGTGGTTTTCAGCTTCGTCGTGCCGGATCTTATTCACTGCTTCCGCTCGAATCATCGCTTCCTGTAAATATGCATCAATAGCAGCGAGTAAGTGATTTTCTCGTTAAAAACACAATCAATAAACGCCAATTTACATTAGTGATTATTAAACGATTAAAACATAGGCATCCAGCGATGTTTTTCTAGGAGAGGAGGGTAAAGAAAATTAAAAAAATAAATTACTTTTTTTTTTTTATAAAGAAAACAACTCTAATATATTTTAATATCATAATATTCATAACGAATAGTTTTTATAATATATTATACATATGTATAGGTTCAAAATGTAAGAATTATACATTATTATATATTAAATTATTTTCAGTGCTCTATTTGGAAAAAATTAAGTAGATGAGCACTATTTAACGGTTTAAAAACTATGTTCTAGATAAAAAATAATTTAACATAGGTCAGTGGAGGGCTTTCCCCCCACAATATCCCCCAACCATTACTAAATTTTTTTAAATACATTTTTATTTTATACATATACCTAATTAATGTTAATAAATACATTAATTTATTTTCATCTAAATATTCAACTATTACAATTCATTTTCGTTATAATAATTTTATAATATAATTAAAACTTTCAAAAAAAAAAATTATAAATTATAAAATGTATTACATTTATCAAACCAATTGTAATTACAGCATCATTGAAAACAATTTAAATCCATGTTTGATGAAAAATTAATATGGGGATTAGATTACGCTTCTACCCCCATTGCCCATTCCATTACAAAATAATATTTGTGGTACGCAAATAGAAAAAAAAATAGTGGAGGAGTTCTATCCCCTTCAATTCGAATTCTGATTATTCTAATACATTTTGCTTTATTATATTATTGTTTTTCAATTACAAAATAACAATGTATTTTTTTATTTTAAAATTGTCAAAAGTAAAAATATTATTTTATCACAATAAGTTACCTAGCATTATAGTTCTTAATTTACATTTGGTTAACAATTACGTTGCAACTTAAATAGGTTTCAGTTGTATTGGTTATTTGGTTATGCTAAATATCTCATTAGTTCAATCGCGTCTCGTAAATGATAAAGTTTAGATAAAATGACTGCTTTTTACCTAACTATAGTACTTAATAGACGCTATAGGTAATAACTATTTAGTACCTAATAGTTAATGTCTATTGAGCACATCATATTATGATTAAATACGTTTTGTGTGTATCAAATTATTTTAAGGTTTGTTATCTAATGCGGCTGTGGTAACGATATATAAATGTTTGGGTAACATAAATAAAGACTTAGGGGAGACAATTACTTTATAATTCCCTCCTCTTTGAAATTCTCAGGGCTTACAGTTATTATGTAGGTGTAGTAGGTATACATATGTTTTAAAACAAATTTCTTTTACAACTCTGATATTTGTAAACATAACACGTCAGCACATACTTCAGCTATCCTAGCTAATTCCATTTCCCTGGCAATCTCGTTTTCTTTTATTTGTTTTTCGACTTCAACTGCTTGAATTTTTTTTTTCAACCTTTCGGCTTCTGCTGCCTTTTCAAGCTCTTTAGCGGCTAACGCCCGTTCCCGCTCCATCATTTCTTCCAATCTACGTTCCTCTTCTTTCATTTCTTTCCTATATAATAATATATTGTGTTGGTAATTTATATAAATTGTAATGCTAATATATTATAGTACGAGTAATATAGACATTTTATATATTTGATATAATTACATTATTATTATTTATTAGAAACACTTTTAAAATATATTTTTTATCTAAGTTTATTTTAGTATAAAATTATAAATAAATTTTATTTTTACCTAATAGGTACAGGTGATAATATTTATTTTTTACTTTCAATACATTTGTTAATATGACAATAAATTTGAAACTATGATAACTAATAAAAAATTTAATTTTACTTTTTACTGTGTAGAATTTTATTAGTTTGTATTACTGCATGGTGTGTTAATTAGGAGGAAAAATTCGAGCATTAATTTTCATTAAAATATTATCATTATTTAGTGTTCAAATAAATACTATTGGACGATATCATTTTTAAAACTAACATAATATTTTCAGTAAAAAGTTACACAAAAGCTTACCTTTATTCGTTAACTTTATGTAGTAGGTAGGTATACTATTCTAGGGTTGCCATGTGTCCCGGATTTGCCGGTAGACTACCGTTTTCGTAACATATGTTCTAGTGTCTCGAAGAAAAGTCTTGGGATGTAACATGTCCCAGAATAAAGTTTATAGTTTTATAAATGCATTAAAAAAAAAAAAAAAAAAAAACTGATGAATATAAATTGTCATAAAAATACGCTATGATCGGCGAAAACGGTTAGTTTTTATACCATTTCTATATTATATAATTTAGGTACATACCATTTATCTAATTTTATTCGATTATACGATGATTTTGTTTTATTTTTATATAGTTTAAAATTTCCAGTGATGGCTTATTATTTCTATTACTGTATAAACTATATTTTGTTACCTGTTAAGTGATGGGAGGATAGTATAATAATGGATTAGATGAAGATTAGATAGATGTTCTAGGTCTTGGTAATGTATAATAATTGGTTATTATTATTTTTTTTTTTTAAATATGACTTGGTTTTTAGTAACAATAATTTAATTACATTTTCCACACCAAAATTTTGTATTAGCACCACCAACATTTAGGTAGTCAAATGAGGTTTTGTAAATTATTTTAGTTTAAAAATGTTGTATAATTAAGCTTACCATTTCCAATTTTTTTTATACATTTTGCAATAATTTTATAATCAATGTTATTATATTAAACCAATATATAATAGTATCCTTTTGTATAAGTGTAATTAGTCAGATATATAATTAACTTACTGAATAAGCTGTTTTTCAGCGATTTGAGCGTTTCTGATCGCATGGCACTTTGTACTTAATATAAGAGAATTGCAGTGCTTTATTTCATCTTCTTGGTCTTGTCGCAATTGTTGTGCTCTAGCCAGTAGGTAATTGGACTTCTTATTTGCTTCATCGTCCAACTGTGAAAAATATTAATTTTAAATAATAATTTTTTGTTAACAATGAAGTTGTTATTTTTAATAAACGATACAGCGATACTTCTAGTAAACAGCGGAATATTAGAATTATAATTTACAGCGTATAATTGACGATAATTACAAATTACAATAACATTTTATATTCGATTTATTATGCTTATTTGAAACACATGACATTATAATTACATTTAGATATTTAATATTGAATTAAAACAAATTATTACAGTACAGGACACAGGTAATATAGTATTTATAGATTTTATTTAGTTTTTGAAAAAAAAGTGTGTGACGAATAAACGTATATTAGGAATTCAAAGTAAAATAACGTTCGTAATACTTTAGAAAAAGGACGTAAGCAAGAATTGACAGTGATGGAAGAGTAAAAGGTAGAGTAATAGTTTCGAAACGTTATTAGAAAGTGCCTTTGCCAGTCGGAATTAATGTAGTATTTAGGATCATTTATCAAACAGTGATTTGTTAACTGGTTCTTTCTATATATATTTTTAAATGATAATTTTCTGTTAATAAAATAACAAGTTATTCGGTGGGTGTGTTTCAACCTTTTCTAAAATTTTAAATAATAATAGAATTAAAGTTTGAGTGAGTTTTAAATATTATTTAAGTACATTTATGGTAAATTAAATTTTTTTGTTTCAGTAGTTACAATATTCGTATTTACTACCCAAGAATGCAAATATTTAATTAACTTGCTTCTTGCTATTTTAAAAAATCCCACAGTGACTCTCAAAATCACCTTAATTTTTTAATATCCGATCTCTTTAATACTTCTAACTCTATTAATTCCTTACGCCGACTTAAAAGAAACTAGGCTAGAGATCTCTCCAACTCAGCTTATCATTTTAAAATCTTACTTTTTTCTTTCTCTAATTTTTTGAAGTGGTGTCAATGGACTCATTCTTTTTTCATGTTATTCATGCCTTGTACTAAAACATACTTATTTTGTACTAAAAACTCACTTATTGTATAAATATTTTCAAATTGTAATATTTTCTTGGTAATAATAATAGAAATTATCATATTGAGAAGTCATAAATTGGAAAATCTAAGTACTTTTTTGAAATATTAACAAAAAGCAGCCTAAAACGTATACACAACATGAAAAATTAATAAGTTTTGTTTTTTGTTGCAATTCAAAAAAGAATAACTGTAGAGACTTGTAATTTATACCAAATTGTTTGTTTCTTTTTAAACTATTTAAATATTTTAGATACATATTTTATTTTTTTTTTAATTATATTTTCAAATACACAAGGTTTCTTTATTTTTTTTTATACACATGACATATACCTACTATACACGTACAGATTGAAATACTTTATTATCAACTTTTATGTTCTTCTCTTATACGTATTATTATTATTTATTAATTATTACCAAAAAGAAAAGTAGGCCTAGAACTGTTTGTTTCACAAAAAAATATAATGTGTTTGTTTTTTGTATTTTATAGCAACAAAAATTCATCAATCTTCAATTATGTTACTATGTTTCAATTGGAGGTTTCTGGTAGCAAATTGTATCTATAATTTGTTTTTGGATTCCGTGTCCTGTGTCTGAAATTGAACTAAATTTAATGAAATATAGGTATATTAAAATAGTAAAAATGAATATTGATCTATACAATATAGTTTTCTTAAATCATACATTAATATTGTTTACCTACAGGCAGAAAAAAAATAACTACAGTTATTTGGTTTGGTATCTAAAACCTATACAAATGCGAGCTATTCAAAATGATTCATCTGTTACTTAACACACAGTGTCCTAGGGCAGGTGCCTAGAATATTTAATGTCATGTGACAAATAATTTTGTACCTAGATATTTTAAAGATGCTGTGTATGTATCATTGTTACCATCAACTGCTGAGAGCTAAAAAATTTGTGGAATTAATTACAACGAATGTACTGGAGTAATAGTATCCGGGTTGATTTTGATTATCGATTATTATAAAATACCATGTACTTGTATGACAAAGGGAAACCACTTAATCTGACACTTAGACGTAAGTACCACAATCATATATAACTTTATTATAATTAATGTGTTAATTTATATGGATATATCATTGATCTACAACTCTAAACCTAAGTATTTAAATTTATAACTCGATGAATCATATTGAATAACCCTGTAGTAGGTATTTTGTTTATAAGTACCATATTCTATAGAGTTAAGAGTGTTTTATATGTTTATGTACCTATGTATATGAATTTTAAGTACTAACCTGTGCAAGTTGTTTTCCTTTAGTTCTATATAGGTCATAGCTCTGTAGTTTTTGCTTCCTGGCAGCGCTTTCTCTTTCCAGCCTCTCTCTATCTGCCATCAAGTCTTCAGCTTTTTTTCGTCGATCTTCCGCGGTTACTACCACAGCTTTATTTCTTAATCGCTTGAATGTGCTTCTGTCAATTACTCGATGGTCTGGTATAGACATGAAATGTTGTTTCCCCGTCTTGTCCAATTTACACATTTGTGAATCTTGTAACCTATAGTTGTTATCCAATTGGGCTTCAAGATTTTTATCAGATATAAAATCAACCGGTAGCTTATATTCATTATCGCGTTCTGAAAGAATTGAAAGACTGGATGCTGATGATGCCGTGTGGCGTTTGTCCGCATGAAAATTTTTAATTGAAATCATATCGCAAACAATTTGTTTTTGGAATGCTTATTTATGTAACTGCATTGATTTTTATTAGTTCAGATTCAAAAATTAGCATTTTTTTTTTATCTTACGATAGCTATCGTTACTATTCATATTATAATAAGTATGAAAATGATATTTTTTGAAGATTGGCTCAATATAATTATTCCAATGTATAACTTTGTTTACCGGTCGCTAGGGTTGTTTCCTGAGAAACGCCAATTTTCAAGTTTATTGAACAAACATCGCACATAGTATATTCGATGAAAGGGTTCGATTATCATTATGTGTCCACTAATAATAATAGTAATTATTATGCAATAATTGCTTTAAAAACTAAAATACTTTCGTACCTACATCCTACATTATGTATTTGAGTCATAATGCGTTTGTGTATTTTAATGAATTTATATTATTATTTAAAAAAAAACCAGTTATAATAATGTAACAACAAAATACAAATAAAAAAAAGATTTTAATCAGTAAATATTTAGCATAAATTATTAGCCATCTATATGTTTTATCGATTCTCTATTAGAAGTTCACGTTTATAGATTAGGTATTTTAGATTTTCAAATTCCTGGGATAATAATTAATCCTTCATAGTTAATGTGTTTAGAAATTCAGTGATATATGTTAAATTTGATAAATTAATTTTTTATAATATATATACTGTGACTTATGCTATGTGTTTTATTTAATGTCATTAAAAACAATTTTTTTTTAAATAGTCTGTATTTTTTTTTTTGAAGAAGAAGAATAAGATGTTTGATATTTTTTTTCTGATTTTACTGAATTTTATCCTTTGAAATACCGAACATTATTTTTTTAAATATTTGATAAGTGTTAACATTTTATAATTGATAAACATCTTTATTTTTCATTAAATAGTATATTATATTATGTTACTATTTCTACGACAGTCATATTATTGTAATGTATTTTCTGATTTTCCTATCAAGTTACCAAGTAATTAATATTATTAATCCTCTCGGCATTTATTGTCTAATTGATTTCCACATTGAAATTTTTTTTCTGACATACATTTGACTTAGTTTAAAAATTATTTTTATATTTCTACTTATAGTATCCCAATGTAAGTACAAATCCAACCTTTAAAGTTAATAGTAGCATTATAAAAATAATTATTGATTTAATTAATTCAAGGTTTTTGTTTTTTTTTTTTAAATTTATACTATGGTTTTGCATGGAGTATTATTTGACCAACTGCAATTAACAATTGAAATAAAACACCATATCGATAAAAAGAATATTGCAGTTATAAATTTGGTTCGGAATATAAAGTTTGACCAAAAAATAATAATTTACCATTATTTTTATAATGTACATACATTTTATTTGTTTCCTATTTCAAACTATAAAAAACTGAATAATAAAAAGACGTAACAACTAATAACTAAGCAATATAAATTGTGATTTCTGAAAAGTATCTCTTCTCTTAGAGTATGTTTCTGCTTGAATAGAAAAATATGAGTTTTTTTTTGTTCCTATATAATTTATTTTATACGTATTGAAAATTTTTGCTAGTGTATATAATATATGATAGCAAAATAAATATGTTTAAGTGTATAGAAATTTATATTTATTAAGTTTGCATTTAAGTTGTTAAAGACAATAATTATATTTTTCTATATTAGTTATTAAATATTTTACTTAAAAGAAACTATGTAAAGTTTAACTTTAAATCATATTAATTTTATTTTTGAAAATAAAGTGAATTATTAACATTTCAAATATACAATATATATATAATATTTATATATACATCAAATTGTTGAATTAACTTAGTTATACCTTTTTAATATTCACCGTATTTAATTGCAATAGGCCCGTGTCTCGTATTATAATAATTGTATTTGTTATTTTCAAGAAATAGAAAATGCCAGATGTAGCGGGATCTATATTTAAACGCAATTTATAATTTACTAAAAAAATGTGCTTAATATTTTTTGCTTTTGAATAAATTTAAAAAAAGTTAAAAAATTGCTAGTTATTAAGTACTAATTGATTAGGTTTTCTTTGAAAATATTTTTTTTATTTGTACGAGTGAAATGAAGATACCCGTAGAAATTTATTGTTCACTAAAATATTACGTTTCTTTCATTATTTCCTTCTTTTATTCTCTATTTTTTTTTTTTTTTTTTTTTGTTTTTACAATTTCACTCAATCCAGATGGAAATGTTACCCTTATGAATGTACATTGTACATGTAATGTTCACATAATTGTTTCATGTACATGATACTGTGAATTTCGTTTTTCATCATTTAATGGTCTATATCAAACAAACAAATAAAAATAAAGCTGTTTTTTTATGTACTAAAAATAAAATATTAATCAAAGCAATTTTATTTTATACCTAACAAAAGTTTTTTGTAAATTTAGATTTCTGAAAATAGTAGTTGAGCAAAGTATTTGTTATAAAATTTAGATTTGGCTAATGGATATGTGTAATATACTGATATATATATTTATAAATTATATATTTGATTTGCAAATTTTTTTTAAAAAATATAAAATAATAGTTTTCAATGTTTATAAGATATTGTCTGTTAATTATTAAATTAGGTACTTATAGTATATTTACCTTTTTTTCGTGTTTAAATCACCATACAATCACATACAAGGACGAACTGTTTTCATATTACTTAACGTCATGCGACATCGTTAATTGATAAATTAATTACAACTTTAAAATATCCGAACTGCCCAAGAATTTACAAACATTTATTATACTGACACTTTTTAATTATTATTTTGAATTGAATTCGATCTTTCTCACTACTTATACCTTCTATAAATACCTACTCAACAGTATGATATGTTTTTCTAATCTAAAAAATATTTTTTAATGTTTCAATAGATATTATTTGAACCTATTTTTAACAATATTTTTTGGTTTTCATTTAGTTTTTTCAATTTTATACAAATTATGTTTGATTTCTTGTGCATGTTTTGGATTTTAGTGTGTATGTACATTTTGTTCAACATATTCAATTATTTTTAATGCATTTAATACTTTAACACGATTAAACGGAATTTGCGTTAAATGCAACAGTCCGTGTCAATTTACTTATCGTCTAAAGGTGCTAAAGATATTTCTCACCCCAGTGAACCGTTGTTAAGCTCATTCAATAGGTATAGTCGAGTTTGGTCGACCGTCAACTATAAGCTTTCTTATGCCTTTATATTTTGCTCTGTTCTGTATCAAGTATTTAACCTTTGTTTTGGGTAGTGTACTGAAATGCTTATTGTATTTATTTCTTGTACTTAAAAATTTATAATATAAAGTTATAGGTAATTGTATTTATAATTGTTTTAATGTTAATAATTTCAACATATTGAACATATTTTATAATTTAAATCTCTTTAACGTCTTTTTCTAATTAAGTATAATTATAGTACATAGAGTAATAGAAGTAAATATTAAATCATACCTAATGTTTAGTATATTTTTTCATATTCGACAATATTCCTGAATATCTAACTTGAATGTGAGTATTATGTACAATGGTATAAAATTAGAGCATAATTTATTCATAAAATAGTTTTAAAACATAATTTAATCTTTATTTCATATATTATAGTTTGATTTATTATCATAATTTCAATAATGACGCATTATATTATTTAGAATTTACTAAAGTTATATAAATTACAACAAATTATACATTTTATATATTGTAATAAATAAATGCATAACAGTTTTATTAAAAAGAAGTATATCTATAGATACTCGTATTACTACTATAAGGTACGATATGTTTTTATGGTGTAGAAATTAAATTCCGCAATAATAAGTCAAGAAATTAAGCAATATATTATATTATGTGTTTAAATTAATTTATTAATATACTTGGTTGTTTTTTAAAATTATTTATGGGTTTAAAAGCAGTTGCAGGAAAATTATTTATTTACACACTAATAAAATAATTTTTGATTACTTATTTTTATTTTTATTATTAATTTTGTTTTGATAAATTAAAGCAATTAATTATTTTAAATCGTTATTGTTGTATAGTTAAACGAGAAATATACTTCACTGAAAAAGCTAAATTATAGTGGAAATTGATTTTTAATTACGTTATAATATAATATGTATGTGTATAATGTACCTATATATATATATACATAACACAAATTGTGCTTTATACAATATTATTAAACTGTTAAAACTTCTGTGTATAAAATAAATACTGTGATCCACTAAGCATTTTATTAATTAATTTTAATTATACGCAGAGTCTTAAATTTATTAGAAAAATTAATTTGCAGTACGTAAAGATATTATATGTTTATTATTTAGGAAATTAATTTATTATTAAAAACTGAAATTCATAGTAGACTTAATGCGTATAAATATAATTGTTTTATAGACTTATAGTATAAGTCCATACTATTTCGAACTTGTCGGTATTATTTATTCGGAGAGCCGATTACAAAATTATTCATGAATACATTTTTTTTTTTTTTTTTTTTTTGTTTGGAATAAAGTAATACGCTATTATAATAGCCAGCAGCTAATAGTTATAGATATATACATAATTAATTGTACTTATTTTATTGCAGTTACACGTCCGTCACCCGTAAAAATGGCGATGAACAAAAATATAATAATTTTATTAAACACGACAATAACGCGCGAACAGGAGAGTTATATAGGTTCTATTGGGCGCAAAAGACCCATCGTGTTATATTGTACGTATCGTATATGATAATTTTGATCTTGAACAGACACGCATAGCAGGTCGGAGGGCGGGCGGCGGTCACGTTTTGTTTCGCTCGTATCGCGATACGCCGCAGACGAAAAGAGGACGAAAAACATAAAAAAATCAAAAACGGGATTACAAAAAACGAACGGGATAACAGCGGTTGCTGTACATGCAGCGCGGGTGGGCCGCATCGACTATACAGCTCGCGTATTGGTAGTACAGGTGCCAATGCGATATTTAAAATATGTGAAAACCGCGAGAACGGCGTGTGCACAGTGCACACACACTTATGGCGGCGTAAAGGGGTGTACCGCCGTGTTTCGGCGCGGTATACAGTGGTCCGCGGAGAGCACGGTCGGCGGCGGTGGATCACGTGCGAGTACGTCGTCGTCGTCGTCGCCGTCGTCGGCGGCGGCGGCGGCGACCGACGGGGTTGACTCAGTGTTACTCGGAAGGATGATGTCGCGGCGTCGTACACTACCATAACAACTACCACAAGCACACACAACTCCTTCATTACTACTACTACTATTACTACTACACTACTACTACTACTACTACTACTACTACTATTACTATTACTACTACTAATACTACTACTACTACTACTATTACTACTACTACTACCACTGCTAGTACCTACTGCTATTACTATTACTACTATTACTACTACTACTACTACTACTTCTACAAATACTACGACTAGACGGGACTCTGCGACGATCTCCATCGCGACCATGACGCTCGTCTTCGGCATCCTCGTCGCGTTCGTCTCCGCCGTCGGCTGTCAGACGTGTAAGTATAAAAATATTATACGCTATGCTATTTATAATTATTTTGAGCGTGTGTGGGGTAATAATAATAATAATAATAATTATTATTATTATTATTTGTATTATTAACGTTTTATTAGAGTGCTCGTCGTACGCGGTACTTATTAATATAATAATATTATCTCGTTGGCGGGACGATATTTATTCTAAAAAAATATTTTCTATATTTGAATAAAATATGTCTATTAGATGATATAATCATTTACGAGTTTTAATATAACGAAAGTGTTCGACGCGTATGACAAACACGACTTAACCCCCTCCCACCACTCATTACGCGCACACAAACAAATTTGATTTTTTTACTCGTAATATCATTGAAATGTGTGTGTGTGTGAACGTGTTTGTCACGTTCGTCGCACGACGAGTAGATGATTTTATTTGCCCAGAGGTCTTTTATATTTATAGTATATAATACCAATCGACTGTATATTATCAATTTTTAAACGTCTTATTCGACATAAATTGGACAGGTTTGTAGACTGTTGAAAAAAATAATTGTGATACTCGGTGTAGAATGGGTAGATCCAACTCGTACCTATATCTTGAGAAATTCACGTCATAAATTTGTTTTAATTTCGTCAGGGATGTCCTTTTATAAATATCATTTATATTGGCCAAAGTTTTATTTGAATTACTTAAAATATTATTATTTGAAATAATGAAAACTAATTTATATACATTTTCTATAATTATTTTATAGTTTTAAATACTCAATGATACAAAAACAAAAAATTAATTATTTATATATATATAAAAATTATTTTTATTTAATCTAACATACTTTATAATAAATATATGTATTTTTTAATAAATCCAGATGAATTCAATTACATATATATATATATACTAATAAAATTTAAATTATATAAGATTTGGAAAAGAATCATATTTTTTAATGTAATTGGATACGCACATGAATTCCATACAAATTTATCAATTGAGAGATAAAAAAAAAATAATTCTCTTTTATCTTTAGAATCATATTATTTTCTTATTGTAAGATACTTTAATATTAAAATATTTAAAATGTTCAAACAGAAAAGTCTTTAATTTTTAAATTTAAAAACATTGTGTTTTCAAAACAATACAATTTAATTGGATTATATGTGAATGTAAAATAAATATAAGTAACTTATTTCTAGATCGAAGAAGATTATTTTTTACGATGATTTATTAAAAAAAATAATATCTCAATTGTTTACTTCTTATTTAAAATGTTTATTACTACATTTAATCATGTACGAATAATTTGAAGTAATTTAATAGAAATGCTTAAAAAAAAAAAAAAAAATAGAATTATGTAAAAAGTAAGAAAAGTAATTTTGAAATAAATTGTAAAAAATATGTATGCTTTTGAAGATATAACTAAGAAAAATCAAAATATAAGAATTTTATAAGACCCTATAGGTGTTACATTTCGAACCCTTATTTCGTTTTGCTACATTAAACGTTAAATATATCCAGTATTTAGAGTGAAGAGTTAATATTATTATTTTAGATGCATAAATTAAATCAATTTATGAAATTTGAAAAATTAATATAAAAGGGTTTAGTTTAAATAGGAAATATTTGTATACAAAATTGGGAGGATATGAATTTACGCTTTTTCTTGTTATACATTTATTTTCTTAAAAATATAATTTAATGGTAAATAATAATAATTATTGTGATTTGTTTTCAAATATATATAGTTAACTGTTTATGCAGTGGTCACTATTTGTTATAATCATGGTTATTGTTATCAATTGTATATTTTTATCAAAATGTTTAAATACAAAGCCGTATACGTTGTACTTTAATTTTCATTCAATGTTATCAGTTAGTTAATGTTATTCGTTAATACGAACAAGAGTATCAAAGTATAGTATTATACTAAGCTGAGACTACAGTATTTTAAATTGCTTATTTTTTATTGAATAGTAATTATAGATACTTAAGTAAGTAACATAGACAATTTGAAACATTATTACTAAGTTATTAGAGAAAAAAACAGGCTCTCTCCCTTCAATATTATAATTATTAATTAATCAATATACATTTTCAAATAAAGATAAAATGTTGGGTCTAGGTAGTTCTTAACAATCTTATTTTGATTCATGTAATATATTATTTAAACTCAGTATTTATTAAAATATTCAATTTTAATTGAAAAATGTAATCAATTTATTCCTTGTTCGTTAATTCATGTAGAAAGCAAATATTTTTTCAAGCCTGCAAGGAAGCTTTTTTATTGTACCCAAAATTGTTTTAAGGTTTTATATATGTTTAGTACATAACATGTACAAATAATCTGTTCCAAGAGATTTTTTTGTGTGTACGTTACGTAAGGGTTTTGAAAATCGTGTGTGAACTTGACACTATCGTTTTAAATTGTTTGGACTGAAACCAACGAACGATTTACTGTTTATTTTATTGGTTTTGAAAAATAGACAGAGAATAAGATATAGGGCACAATGCCAGTCCTAACCTAACACCTAACCTTACTAACTATAGCAGAGTACAATGGTCTGTTTTGAATCCTTTTTTTTATTTGTCATCTTCCCACTTGAATATTGAAAATTATATTATTATCAACGATGGTTAAAGAACCACACATTTAATTCGACGGATAAAGTATCATACGTATCTGTATCATAAACGGGTAGGGCATTGTTTTGATATTTTTGTTTATAGACATTCTTTGCAAAAATAAAAAAATTAAAAATAAGTTGCTGAAAAATAATCTTTATACAACTGCAAACTTTTGTTCTATAATAGTATTGTAATTTGTATTGATGAATGTTGAATGTCATAGTATATATTCATATTATTTATTTTATGATTTTTATATTTAATTTATTTCATTGTTTTTTGTTTTCATAAATATTTCTGAAACATTATTAATAAAATATATTATGATGCATCTACAATAGGTATATGCGTTGTTTTGCTCGTAAATTGTTTGGATATAAAATTATTTAGTTTTGTACACACTACTAGCCACTACATAATGTAGATGATGACAATCATCAGCAATAAACACAAAGTACGAGTGGATTTTTTATTATTTCCAGGCACAACTGTCCATGACATTTTCTGAAATGCTTATTAAATAGTATAGTGGTCTTGTCAGGGAATATTTGACTTTAATATTACCCGCAGTATAGTATTGTTGAAAAAATTGCGTGTTGGCGTATATTTTTCTTTTAACAAACTAGGTAGGGTACCATTGAATTCGCGTTAAAATTAAATTACTTTTATTTATTTCAATTATTATAGTATATCTTCCGTGCATTGTCAATAATCATTATTGGACTGTGAACATTATAATAATTTAATTCTCATATTTCATACGTCTATAAAAAAAAATTTTGTATTCAATTCATTTGAGTGAAGAAAAAGATCAATTTTTATTGCTAGAGAATTTTCCCTAAAGAGCAATACATCACAATTATTGTAGGTTATTTATTTGCATAGGAGAGAAATCTTACAGAATTAATTAAACTGAAAATCCTATTCTCAATAAACATAATTTTATTTTTAAATTAATTAGTAATCAGTAAATTGTGTTATAATTTATATGATTACCATTTTTTCTATATTTTAGTATACTATTTATTATTATTATTATTATTATTAAAGCATCGATGTAGAAAAAAATATTATTCGATTAACGTTATTCTTATAAACTTGTTAGATACAGCTTGAAATTAAAATTAAAAGAAATTCTTTATTTCTTCTTTTAAAAATATTTGAATTATATATATATATATATTATTAATTATTTAATTATTTTATAAATATACTAAACACCTAGACATAATTAGGTATTACGTAAATTAATTTGATAAAATTATTCTAAAATATTAAATAAGTGATAAGTACTGATGACATTAATTTGGCATTATATTTAAATTTTGTAAATCCGATAACGATTTTATTTATTTTTATTCAGTGTACAAATTGAAAATGATAAAAATAAATAATTATAATGTTCTTATTATGATAAATGTTTGTGTAGTTTTATAAAAATGAATAATTGTTAAGTAAATATCTTACATATATTTTATAAAATATTAACATTTAGCAGATTATAATTTTAATTTCTTGATTATCTACTAGTTTATTGTTGATAAAATTGTATGATTAGGCTAATTTTATTTTCAAAATAATATTTTTAATCATTCAAATAGAAAGCTAAAATAATATATGCATAGTATTTTTATCTAACTGTTGAAAAAGTATGTATGTTGATAACAAAACAAAAGACTCGTCAAAACGTATTCATTTTATGTCCCTCTTCATACGGTTATCATATTTTATTCCTCTTGTTCGTTTTACCAAGAGTATATAGAACAATACATCACAATTTATTTATTTTTTACAACAAGCTTGTTCATCAGTTAACACACATCCACACATTTCTATTTGGATGTATATTGTGTTTGTAAACAGTTTTTTTTTTTGTTTTCACTGGTACTAGTGATTGTTCACTGATTTTTATATTCGTACAAATAAATTACACAAGAATTATAAAATTATGTTAAATGTATGATAGTCAGATTTAGAGATATTAGCAGAAATTAATTAAACATAATTTGGAAAGACTGGAATAAAAATTTAACTGCACAACACGTCAATATAATACACTCATAATATAATATTAAAATTTAAATTAAAACGTCGTAGATAGAAAATATATAGAACTATAGGATAGTGTGACTTGCAGGGTATTTTTTTCTTGGCTAAAAAAATAATTTTAATTGTTGTAGCATAAAATATTTGAACAATGAAAACTATTCTTATAAATTTACCATTGTATAAAATAGCTGTTAAGGTTTTTCTTTCATTGAATTAATGCAGCTACACGTTGGTTTTATAATAAGTGATTATACTAATTTACCTATTTTTATTTTACTATATTACGTTCAATGTAGATTTGCCATCGAATGAAATGGCCAAAAGATCGTACCAAAGCTATACACCGTATAATGGTACAACAGTGCAATATTATTTGGATGACGTTGATGATATAGATGATGAAGACACGGACGAAGACGACCTGAAATCTGATGATGATGATCGGACTTACAAAAATCCAAGAAAGCTACCATCATCCGAATGTCCCAGAAACGAAGATCAAGCAGCATTCATGGTATTATTTATTTTAAATATACATTGCAAAGTGATATTTAGATACGTTTGAAAGATAGTATATAGTTTTCTTTATTTATTGTATGGATAGATAATATTAAGTTGGTTATATTTTTATGGCACTTCACATATGATTGCGAGCAAGCATCCGTTATGGTGTTGTAACATAGTAAAAAACTTTAAAAAAATAAGTATAGTTTACAATATTTTTCTGAATTTTTAAATATCATAAATTTTTATACAAATCTTTAACAATAATAATTATTGCATTTATAAATTGGTAAAATTAAGTTTGATGTTTTACAAAATTGTTCAGAGCTAATAATAACATAAATTATAACTAATATTGCGTACTTTCTAAAATGTTCCATATACTTTACGTGTTTACTTAGTATACGTATACTTATCGTAAACTCGATGAAAAAAATATAAATTGCTGATGATTATTGCTTGTAACAGCGTATTTTAAAACAGGTACATGTTTGGTAAATAAAATTTTATTTTTTTTTCGTATCTTAGTATGTTTCATGTAATAATTATAGTTATTACTTTTAAAATATTATTGATATATCATCAATAAATGAATATATTTTATTTTGTTTGAATTTTCAATTATCCATTTTTTAATTAAATATTGAATCACATAAAAACAATTAATCGTGTATATTTCGTTTCTATAATCTTTAGGTACTTAAAATTTATTTGAATTAGTATTACAACAATTTAAGTTTATTTCAAATCAAATTTTTTTTTGCTTTGATGCAGGATATTTTTGTATATTACTTTTAAGATTTTTCGCTTGTAGACTTACTCTATTGATGCTTTGATGAGTCGTAGGCATTTAATTTGTAAAAAGTAAAGCATTTTATTTAATTTTAAATACTATCACATTTATTACTCTCGTTCACTATTTTATAGTTTATTTTAATGATAGATCCCATCAATACATGTGGGAAATTCATTTTGTTTATACCAATTAATATTTTTTTAAACTTAAACATATTAATTTGAAAAACTAAAATAAATTAATAATTAAGTATAGATAAATAATTGAAATGTATTTTTATAGCTTAAGCTACAATTTCATTTTGTTTTAAAAACCCTTTGTTAGAAAATTATGTAATAAATAATCATACTACTAAATTTTCTATCATGAAAACAAATATATTTTTTTATTGATAATTTTTTAAAAAAAAAATATGATAATAAATCCTGTTAACGTTCATGTATATTATAATATACCAATATATAAGTGGATACATTTATTTTGAAATTATTGATTACGAACTTTTATATTAACATATACAAATTATAGTACTAATTAAATTGTTCATGATTGTATAGTTTTTTGTTAAATGTATTGTAAAACAAAGAATACACAGATAACAATATTCTATAAGTATTGATATTGCTATTATTTTAAAATAAAATTTGCAATTCAAAATTAAATCATAAATGTATCAACTTATTTCCTGATCTGAATTTTAAATTTTCATTTCATATTATTTTAAGTACGTTAGGTTTTACAAAGGGTTTCGGTATAGATTCATATTTATGTTTCGTAAATTTTACTAGAAAAATTATGTTTGATATAAATGAACATTTTATTTATTATTCAGTTTATACAACTTATTAAAATCTTATGGAAGAAATACAATTGTTATTGTAAACGTTTTGATTCATTTTATCTTATCTGCCTGATGTTGTTAACTCGATTTACCTATTTTAAATATTTATTTAGTTTTTATTACGGTTTTTATGATACAATAGACAAAATTCAATAAAAAATAATAAACTATTTACAAACTATAGCTGATATATGAAGTAGTTTAATACTATACTTTTGTTATTAAATGTAAAATTAAAAATTTATAAAAAAGTAGTTCCTAACCTAAAAATAAGAATAATTTATATTAAATACTTTAATCACTAAGTCTCAAAGATCTATTTATTATTTCGATAGGAGCATTAATTTTATTGAATTATTTATTATTTTTTAAAAATTCAAATAGTACTCAAAATGTTATGGTTTATTCAATATCTAAAAATAAAATATAACAGTATAGTTTTGGGTTGAATAAATAATCATTAAATATTTAATGAATCAATAGTAAGTTAATGGTTCCTTAAACATAATTTAGTAACGTTTGATTGACCCATTAAATTTTAGTGAATCATTAAATTAATCAATTTTCCACATAATTCGGCATAGGATAGTTATTAATTATTATCCAGGAAATTTAAATTTATTTTATTTTTTTCTTTAAACAAATCTATTTGTTTAAATATAATTTTTTTCTGATACGAAATTTATTTTTTTTGCAGGGACAATCATGTTTACGAAAATGTTCGTCTGATGAAGATTGTAAAAGTAAGAAAAAACATTGTCTCTGTGATGGACTTTGTGGGATGTCATGTGTAAAACCAGGTAAAATTTTTATTATTATATCAAATTAAATAAATATTTTTAATTTATAGAATGCAAAAAAAAAATAAATATTCCAGTAAAAATCTTCCCGGGAAAAAACTCTCTGTTTAAAAGAGTTTGTCAATTTGAATACTTAATTAATGAAATTTAGGGCCCCGGATTTAGTTTTCCTAAAAATTATCTAATAATGCATTAAAAAATAATCAAAAATGCCAATGCAATTTAATGATGAACATAAATATTCAACAAGTCCATTATCTTTTTGAAGAATAAAAAATTAAAAAAAAAAATACTCTTAAATAATGACATACGTTTTTTTTTAATACACGCGTTAACGAGTGGAAAACAATAGTTTAATTTTGAGCACTTTATCTTACCTTAATTAATAATATTACAAAAACAAAACACTGAACTTATTCATGTAAAATATTTAACTAAATTTAACGTGCTTGTTGAATTATCTTTATAATTTTTATACTGATGATTTTTTCTTAGTTTTGGGATATATTTTCTAGGAATTTTCTTTTTATGGATATTTTTTCCAACTACTCAATTTATGACTTTAATTAAAAAAAAATTTTAATTTTAAATACTTCAGCTTACTTACTCGTATATTTATTTATAAAATACAAAACATATAAACATTGATAAATACAAGAAGAAAATTATTTAAAGCACATCAATACCTTCAATAAATGTTTGAAAAAAAAATCTTCTAAGATCACTTACATACATTTTACATATTACTAACATATTTATGATAAATGTTAGTTAAATTAATAGAGTATATTTTAAGTATCTATGTATACAATGTTTTACTAATTATGATGAGACAATTTTGGTTCTATTGAGACGTAATGAAAGTAATAAGTATTACCAAGTTTTAAATGTTCACAAAGTATAAGTGATATTATAAGTACTAAATACTTACTAAAGATCATATTATACACTCTTTATTATACGGTTCTGTATTTGAATTAATTATCTTAGATCACTGAACCAAGTAGATATTTTAAAATACAGCTTTATCCCACAATTTGAACTAAAAGTTTTATTTTAATATTATTTAATTTAAATAATACGAATTAAATACTACATTGTGCAATATAGTAGCTTATTTTATAATTATATTTTAAATTTTATTTGATATAATAAATGGTTATTTTAAATTAAAATATGTTTAAGATTTCATTAAAATATTAGTCCTATTAAAAATTCAACTGTACGCTAATACAATACTATTCAGACTTTTAAATAAAGTAAATAAATTGTCATAAAAATATTAAGTTTTTCTTATAATTAAATATTTATTTAAGAGTGAATTAAATTAATTTAAAATACAATTTAGAGGGAATTTCAATATGTTATTTTCAATTTTTTTTAATTTTACTATTTTTAAAAATCGAATATAAAAAGGATAGTTTTCAATCTATTCCTCTAGAAAAGGTAGCCATTTTCTTTTTGTTTTCTCAAAAACTAAATTCTAAAGAGAGAGCTTTCTGGTGAAAACTATAGTCCATTATATATCAAAGTAGATAATATAATTTGGTCCCATCGTGTAGATTTTGCAATGTGGTAAGATATGTGTATTTTGTGTAGCACAATGGGCTTAAAAACGAAGAGAAAGTTGGTGTGAAAAGTTTCAGTCGTCAAAAAACAGAAAATAAGCTACAAAAGGTTTGTGTGGATTTGTGAATTTCAAGCTAGATTTATAAAAATGAAAAAAAAAATACGAATGAAAATTTTGCCCCAGGGAAACTTTTTGCTTTAAGGTTTTTATTACGCTAGCGTAAATGTACTCGATCAGTACTCGCATAGACTTTATGTTCATCTTAGTGTTCTGATCCTTAGGGGCAAATTGCTATAGTTGTTTCTGTTATAAAATTTTGCTTCTAGTGAATTTTTTATTAAAAAAAAAAATTTTTTTTTGTGATAGGTATACTTAGAAATTCGATTTGGCGTTAGACAATTTTATCAAATAATATGTTTATATGAATATATTATAACGTAATATTAATCACTGTAAAAATTTGAATATCTAAAAAAAAATTTAATTAATTTTATAAGTTTTGAAAGTTAACTGAGAAGAATAATTTTTTGAAATTAATAATTAAAGTTTAGTGCAATTACTTTAATTAAAAAAAAAAAAAAAATAATAATAATAATAATAATAATAATAAAGACCATGAAATAATCTAAATATTTATTTTATATTTAAACTAAAATTTTATTAAATTATATGTTGTGTGGTTCAGTCATTATCACTTCACATTTAATGCAAGCGTGCTACGTTATCTGTGTTCGGAGTATTTTTATTTTATTTTATTTTACATTTTTAAGTTCAGCTTTTGCTTAAACTTAATTGTATAAATAGTCATTTATTTAACATTTATGAATTTATTTTTATTGGTCTTGAGATACAATAATATTGGTCATTAATTAGTTTTATTTTACTTATTTTAATTACTTACATTTAAATATCTTAACAAAATCAGCTATTCAAAAGTACCTTTGCGATTTTAATTGAATGCTTTATTAACCATGTTTTTGATTTAAATAAATTAAAATTTCAGACTATCTATCCCGACAAATTAAAAACAATACAATTTAATGACCAACAGGATTCGAGAGTGTTTTAATATAAACTGTAATAATAAATTATTTCAATCCCGTTATCATAACAGGTCCCAGACATGTCTGCTAGAGAGGTTTTTGAGTTTTGACACATTAAGCCGATTGCATATTCCGGTAGACATACATTGTAACATCTGTTGATAGGATAACGTCCGTCAAATTATAATAATTATTGTGTTATCGCAACATCGTGATGTTTACTTTTATTACATATTCATATTCGACAGTACTAACATATTTATCTCTCGTCAAACAAATATTTTTGAATTTTAGAATTCAGATTAATGTATTTTTAAACATTAAAATGAATAGCTGACACTGCACTAATTGTAAATTAATATATATTTAAATTGAGAATTAATGCATTCTTTTTTATTATTTCAATTAATTCTTGATAGATTGTAGAAGTATCGAAAAACTTTTAACAAGATTATAATAATGAAATAGGTTATAATATAAAAGTAAGATAAAATATATATATATATATATATGTATATATAAAAGAAGTAGTACAAAGTATAAAAATACGTATCATCATGAAATATTGAAATATTATGAATACAAAATATGTATAAAATGGTCTAATAATCAAAAACTTTCGTGCAATAAATTTTATATTTATTAAATGAACATAACTTAAGTATCCATAAAATTGACAAAAAATTAATTTTTACTACTACTTAATGCATTAATGTTTTTACTAATTTCTATTGATACTTAATACGATATTAATTTTTGTATTTTTACTTAACATAGTAATTTAGTATAAGTACTATAATATAACCATATTAAATAATACGATATTTTTCTAAAAATATATTTTGAATAGTTATTAATTTATAATGAAGTGATATAACAGGGATATATAATTGGAGTTTATATAGGAGTTAATATATAGGTATAAATATATTTGCGTTTAATTTCAAGTAAAATGAGTAGTAAACAATTTTGTATTATTTTATTTATTTATGATATATGATAAAATAAATAATTATAAATCATACCTATAAAATGTAAGCTTTTAATTATTAATAGGACCATATTATATGCTCTGTATATTTGTTTTTACATTAAATATATGGTTTATTGATCAGTATATTTATAATTTATAATGTATTTTGAATATCTGAAAGTTTTGAAAATCTAGCAATTGATTATAATATTATATTCAAGCTCCCGAATGTGTAGACCGTATACTTTCGAAGCTTCCGCAAATTGTTTAATAACTAAGAAAAGCAGTTTTTTTTCATTGAGTTCAGTTATCCTAAAATTATTCATTATTCAGTAGTCTGATTTTAGTATTTTTTTTATCTTGTTATAAATTTTCGTTATCTATCATGTTAACGAATTGTGGTTTTGAGTTGTATTAAGTATTCATATGCAATCATATTACAAATAAATATAAATGTTTAATAAAGGTGTTACAGATTTTAATGGTTAACATGTTTTTTATTTCGTTTTTGTCGAAATAATTTTTGGTGTACCAAGAAATCAAAAACATTGAGACACTTTTTATTTAAAAAGATATAAATGCCACTGATAGATTAGTGTGTACCCAGTAATTTATTAATTTCGAATTTCACTAATTTACAGTCATAAATATTTTTATTCATTATTTTTTTTTTTGTAAGCTAACTGTTATAGTTGTTATACATTTAATTTTATATTTATGACAACCCGTATTCATTTCAGAAACTCTCAGCGCCATTACTATTGAATTTTCAAAAGACATAATTTTAGAACATAAAATAATACTGTGGTTGTACTAATTATAACTCTTATTTTTAATGTTTTCACACTTATTTTGTTTGATACGGTTATGAAATAATTGTATTCAATTTGATTAGTTAATATAATTGTATTTTTAAAATTTATTTTTGTTAATGATCAATATTTGAGAAACGATGTTATCCAAGTAGAAATTATTTATAGCTCATATTTCATATGTTACAGTTATTTAATTTTTTAAACTATTATTACCATTCACAATAAACCTTAAAACGTCGAACGAAATTATTATTCAGAACAGCGAAACATCATTAGAAATGGGACAGGTACATTTAAAAAATAAACACTTTGGGCCAAGTTAGCGTAGAAATAAAATTATCATTATTCAAAGAGTGGAGTAATTAAAGTGTGTATACTGTATAATTGTATTGGTAGAAAATTAAATCGAACTACAATTGTGAAAGTTGCTTTTGTCGTTTAGTAGGTTACGAATATTTATCTTTATTGGACAATTCTATACTCTATTGGTTATGTTTAAGTTGAATTAAATGAAAAATCATTACATTCGTAAAATTATTTTGATTAAAGGTAGAAGGTGACAGTAGATTATAATTTATTTTTAAGGATAGCTTATGCTG